TTGGAGGCTATTTTGTAAATGACATCGCCGAAGTCAAGGATCGGTAGGATAGTCAGTTTTACGAGGGCATGTTTGGCAGCATGAGTGAAGTTTGACGGGTGTGTGTGTTTCCCATCCCAGGCGGAGATGGAGCGGGCGCTGCTGCAGGGGGAGAGGCAGGCGGAACTGGACCAGGTAGAGGCGGAGACAGAGATCATCGGACAGCTGCAACACAAGCTGAAGGAGCTGGAGAACGCCATCCAGAGGGAGAAAGACAAGGTAGGAACCTGGGGGAAAACACTCACACACACAGACATACACACACAGACAGATTAGTTCTAGCTCCATTTATAAACTTCTCATTCCAACGTTACTGTGTTGTATTTTAATGGAGAAAAACAGCAGAAAAAGTACTATTGTTAGTGAACCGCTTGTGTTGTCCTAGCACTCTGAGAGAGTGCTTATTGGAAAGACGGTGGATATGCAGACAGGGAGGTGAGATTTGTGAGATCTCAACATTGTGTTGTTTGAACACCACAGACACAACCCAACCCTCCTTTCCCTCCACTGGACTATGTTATAGGGCCTGTTCAGGAGGATGTAACATTACAGAACGTTCACATAGAAATATATCCTGTAGAACAGATATACGATTTTCTGACGGATAGAAAAGGGATTCATGGCAGTTCTATTCGTGATATTTCTATCTGCAACGTTCCAAACGTTTCACATCACTGAATATACACCTTCTAAGGGACTGAACAGCCTTTTCTGGTCTCTTGACATTCCTTAAAGGCATTGCTAAATCCTGGATGGCCTCCCAAGACCATATCTAGTTGGTTTTGCCATCCCAAGGTAAATTCACCCAGCCATAGCACTTGCTCTTCAACCCCCCCCCCAGCGAGGAATGCTCCGTCCTTCCATCTGTTATATGCATTGATGTTTTACCTTAGAAGAGCTTTGGACGATGGCACTTAGACGTAAGGATGGGTGTTTTGTCTTTATTTTTTTCTTTATTTTCCTTCAGGGCTTTCCTTCCTTCGGGGCTTTTTCTTCTTCTGCAGCTCGGCTCCACTAACCAGGCTCCATTAACTTCTAATCCTCTCACTGCTTCACTCAACAACTTCCTCTCCTCCTTTCCCTCTCCTCCCTTCCTCCACTGTCAGCCTGAAATCCATGTAGGTTATTAGCACTTGTCTTAAATGTGTCCCAAATGACACCCTATTCCCTATATAGTGCACTACTTTTGACCAGGGTTCATAGGGCTATGTAGGGAATAGGGTGCCATTTGGGACATAGGTGTGAATCGATCCTTTGGGTTTCTACTTCACTGAAGTTTTCGGGACCGGATGCTAGTGGGTATGAGTGGCTGGTTACTAAAAGTATATATGTGGGAGTCCTTTTAGGAATGTTGTGTAGGCTTCACCGTCCACCACATAGTTCACAACATTACAGACGGTCTCTATTTGAAGGCTTTACACAACTGTATGTTGTTTCACCTAGTCATGTCACTCCACTGTTATAGGCTTTATGTAGACACACTCAAACCGAGAACCTGAAAGGGGTCATTGTCTTGTCTTTCCTTCTTAAGGCTTTTTTTAAATCTTGTGATTTGTATATTACTGACGATTTTGGAGATTGTCTCACTTCCTGTGTTCAAGTTAGAACCTTGAGACCCTGACGGTCTGTCTCAGCTAAAACTACAAATCAAAACTAAAGCTTAAACTAGAAAAACTACCTGTATTGTGTTGTCCCCTTCTCTACTTTTATTGCCATTGGTCACAGACCGAGGTGGAGCCAGAGCAGGGTGACAGTTAGGAAGATTGCCACTCAAACCCCAAAGCACCGCCCACACCCCTCTCCCACCCAGTGACTTTAGAGAATGCATTAATGATAAAAAGGTTCTCGGTCTGCAGAACGTTTCCCTCTCTCTCCTGCATGGTCTACTCTATTCTACTGGTTATACAGTGGTGGCCCTCTAGAGGTAGTTTACCAGGCACTTTCACTACAATCAGACCCAGGCTCTAACTCTATCTCTCTTTATTCCACACATCCTCTCCTCTTCTCAAAACGTATTGGAGGAAAAGATCCAAGGTTTTTCCACTTTGACCTTCCATTACGTTTAGAAGGAGGCGAGGAGAGCTGACGCGGGGAATCGAGGAGAGCCTATCGCGAAAGAGCTCCATCCTGTACCAGCGAGAGCTTTTATTCCCTCCAGGGGTTTTGATATCACAGCCTCTGTGTCAGTAGGGCAGTGGTGCAGAGCATTAGAGTTACCCATGCTTACACCGCCTGCACTCACATGCAATAACAACAAAGATCTGTTGTTATTGATCGTTCCGTAAGCTTTTTACCAGAGACGCCCAGAGGGGACCCAACCCTGCTACCCTTCAGTTAACAGCCGTTGACCTTCTGTAATTCATAATTTAGCAGTGGGCCTTACTATGATTAAGTGTTTTGTCTAATTTGGTATGAGCGAAACCTGGAAAATAACAGATAGGTATTTTCTGCCGTTGTATAATACAGCAGTTTTTAAAACATTTGAAGCACAATAGCAACCAACCATTATAACTAAAGCAACACACGAATTCGTAACGATATGCTGCTCATGGTTCATTTTGGGAAGCCCGAAGAAGCATGAATGTGACTTCTGATCATTCAGGCATGCCTACACATCCAGTTATAAACCTGTTCAAAACTAACTGGACTGACCTAAAGTATTAATACCAAAGCCACATGAAAATCTGGATGGGCCAATAATAATAATAATAATAATAATAATATTTTATTTATATATTATTTTTTATTTATTAAAGCCACATGAAAATCACTATCTTCAGAAACAACAAAGAGTCACCACCCAAAATAGAGCAATCTGACGTGAAAAAACAACAGCTGAGCCAAAACAAAAAAACTATTCCCATTTCATGTTTGATGAAATAGCAAAATCTCCTGTTCCATCGCAGACCAGTGTTTCCATGAGAATCGAACCCTGCAGGTTGCAAATGTCTGGAAACAAGAAGTCTGTTCGGACCTGTTTGAGGCCTGGGTCATGTTTATTAGGCACCGAAAGGGGGAAAAAACTGACTTAAACAAGGAGGAACTATCTGGACGTTACAAAACATTTAAAAACGTTTTCAGTGTTGTGCCCTAATGAACACGACCCTGTAGTCCAGCACTTTTAAAGCTAGTCACTGGGGATTGATTTCACAGTATTATAAACTCCACAGATGCCCCATGTCCCTCCTCCTCTGGCTTATCCACTGTTGTGACCTCTAACATCGGAAGCTTTTTGCATGGCGTGGATTTGAGCAAGTGTGTTTTTTTTTGCTTTCTCTCTCTGTTGTCCCCCCCTTCCTCTCCTCCCTCCCACCCCGGACGGTGTGTTCTTTCTAGGAGAGGGCAAATGTTGACGCAGAGCGCCGAGCCCTGGAGAGCCTCCAGGAGGGCTACAGTGAGCTGAAGAAGCAGCTTCATAACTGCCCCGAGTCACTGAGGGAGCAGTTACAGGAACAGCTCAAAAGGGTCAGTCGTCAATCCACCACCAAGACCATCACCCCCAACCACCCCTGAGACCCACCACCCCCAACCACCCCTGAGACCCACCACCCCCAACCACCACCAAGACCATCACCCCCAACCACCCACCAACCACCACCCCCAACCACCCACCCAACCCCCAACCCACCCCTGAGACCCACCACCCCCCAACCACCACCAAGACCATCACCCCCAAACCACCCCTGAGACGCACCACCCCCAACCACCACCAAGACCATCACCCCCAACCACCCCTGAGACCCAACACCCCCCAACCACCACCAAGACCATCACCCCCAACCACCCCTGAGACCCAACACCCCCAACCACCACCAAGACCATCACCCCCAACCACCCCTGAGACCCCCCCCCCCCCAACCACCACCAAGACCATCACCCCCCAACCACCCCTGAGACGCACCACCCCCAACCACCACCAAGACCACCACCCCCAACCACCCCTGAGACCCACCACCCCCAACCACCACCAAGACCACCACCCCAACCACCCCTGAGACCCACCACCCCCAACCACCACCAAGACCACCACCCCCAACCACCCCTGAGACCCAACACCCCCAACCACCCCTGAGACCCACCACCCCCATCCACCACCAAGACCATCACCCCAACCACCCCTGAGACCCACCACCCCCATCCACCACCAAGACCATCACCCCAACCACCCCTGAGACCCACCACCCCCATCCACCACCAAGACCATCACCCCAACCACCCCTGAGACCCACCACCAGAGACAGCAAGCGTCCCCCCGTCCCCCCCGTCCCTCGTACCACCCACCCACTCTCTCCACCCTCGTCTCTGAGCTACACCTATCCACCATTATGAAGGGAAATTCCAGCAGCGCCACATCTCAATTAGAGTATACTTACCTCCAGATTATTGAAGGACCCTGTAAGAGAATTACATGTTCACAAGAAGCTGAAGTGGTGTACTTACAGATTTACGAGTATAATGTCTACTGAACTCCTGGATATAGTGCATAGAATGCTGCACTTGACGGCGAAAGAAACTGAATTGGAATTCTAATTCTATGATGATAACTGATGTAAAACATTCGTAACATCCAAGAAGATGGCATGCAAATTTAGGGAAAGTTTCCTGGACACAGATTCATCCTAGACCTGGACCAAAAAGTATGCTCAATGGAGATTCTACATTGAATGTACTTTATAGCTCTGGATTAGGCTTAATCTGTGTCCGGGAAACCTGCCCTTAATGTTTATGCCTGATGCCAGTCCGTAATTGGTGCACAGTAGGCTATCATGAGACCTGGTGCATACCTCTTCAGGTACTGTTACTGGGACCTTTACCCCTTTAGCCGGGACTTGTTGAACTCTGCACATATGAAAATCCTGTCTTGTGCCCATGACCTACATGTTATTGCCACAAGCTGCTGGAATTTCCCCTCTCTCTCCGCCACAACGATGTGCCTCTGAGCAAACAGGAGGAGTGTCAAAATGGCGTCTGGTGACTTCGGGGCGAGGTGCTGCATTGTGGTGATTTCTGGGTCATATGTGCGTTGCATGCGTTTCACACAGGAGTGTGTGTGTTGTCTGTCTGGTTGATACAGTCTCTGAGTCTGGAAGCATCCCTCTCTTCTTATAACCCCTTAATAACGGCTTACTAATTTATTAATGTAGACACTTACCACCACTCCCTGTCCTACTGTCTTTTCATATCTTTCCTCTGAATGGAAATGTGTATGTTTTGTCTGAATAATGTTTTATATCATCAGCTCTTTGAAAAGGCAGTCCATAGAAAGTGAATCTTGCATTTTGTCAGGCAGTGCAACTATTTATCAGCCAATTACATTTTGCACGTTAGCTCGATTCACTTTGCTATCCTATCCACGTAGTGTAGCATGACATATTGGCTGGCTGACTTGACATGAGAACAAATGCTATACAATTTTTCTTCATTACAGTACAGAAAGCAGATATAATACATTTTGTATACTTCTACATATCGCAAATGCTGCCTTGTACATCTCACTGGGTCATGTTCATTAGGCACCAAATGGAGGAACGGACTGAAGCAGGGGGGAACCACATGGACAAAAATACAAATGTTCTGTTGCAAAACATAAATAAATGTTTTCCGTTGCGTGCGCTGATGAACACGTCCCAGGTTTGCTGTAGACATCCTTCAGAAGTGCGACAGAGGCCCTTGAGTGGCCTGCTCTCCAAACACAGAGGGTCTAGCGATGTCAGTGATGACATGGGTGTTCTGATGCCCTGAGCCGTCACTCGTCAACGTCAGTAACGCTCCGATGAACTGACAGCAAGGGCAGGCCCTTGTCTTTCCCCCTCTAAAGCATAAGTGGCCCATTCTCACATCTATGTGTGGGTTTCTTGGGTTTATGGTAAAGGTTCAAGACATTCAATTGGGTTCTCACATGCAAATCATCTATAAAATACAGTATAGAAGATAGTACTGTATAAGTACTTAAGTATTACTACAGTAAAAGCATAGTATAATATTTTATAACATACAGATAGTGGCCCTTGGGTTTCTCATTTTTGGAATTATTATTGGTGCAGCAGAGAGAACCTGCTTGTCACCAATCAGTCAAACTACTGGGCTATAAAATCTTCCAACCAATTAGACTCGCATGAGCAGAAATGCCTGTAATATTGATAGCTGTGTATACCACATCATTTTCACAATGGTATGGTGCTTCTGTATTGGTGGCATAGTGAAGTACAAACCTAGGATACAATGGCAAAGTTAATCCAAACAACATAATATTCAAGTCTATCAAAGCATGATCAAAGTAGTCATAGTGCTAAACAGAACTCCACCAATCCTTAGATAGAACCTCCATGAAGCTTACTCTGTGTCTGTCTAAAGTGACAACGCAGAACTCTTTTGAAGCACGTTTTTTCTGTGGCCTACCGCCCCTGGTTGTGCTGGCTTGGCTTGGGCCTTGATCGCTGCGGCTCAGGAGCATGGTCATTGGCGAGAGCCAGGGGGACGGAGGGGGCTGGCGTGACCCTGTGGTGACCTTGGCTGTCTGTCTCTTGGGGTTGGTAGTTGTTGGTACTTTAGAACCCTTTTCACACTATCGTGCCAACCCACACTGGCTCGGGTATTTTCTCCACACATTGTGCTTTCTAGCACAGTTCCATTAGCTATGGTGAATGGATGAATGCATTACCAGGCCAGCCAAATACAGCTCGGCTCGGCTTGGCTTGGCTCAGCAGTGTGAAAACTGTATATTATAGGAGGCTGAGGCCTGATGTGGTTGTGACTCATTGTGATGGGCTCTGTGTGGGGTTCGACAGGAGGGCGAGACCCTGGAGTCAGAGACAAAGCAGTTTGAGGACCTGGAGTTCCAGCAGCTGGAGAGGGAGAGCAGCCTGGAGGAGGAGAGGGAGACCATCAGCCAGCAGCTGCTGCAGGAGAGGGCCGAGTACCACACCAGCGTGGCCAAGAGGAAGGTAATGGACTGAACTGGACTACAATGGCTGCTCCTATCTATTCTGACCACCGTTCATCATATCTGGAGCTGTGAATATGAATGTCTGTCAGAGAAACTAGCTCATTTCTGATGATGGCTAAATGCCTTTACAGGTTGAGAGTAAATAGTATGATCATTCACGTCAAGAATGGTGTTGGTGGGGATACCTGACAAAGACATGATACATGATTACTGCTTTGTTTTTGGTGTAGTGTATATTTTCTCAATTTAAAGTAATCTTGTTGAGTACCCCTTTAATTCAGCAATAACTCTCCAAACATGTTGTCTTCCAGGACAAGGTGGCAGCTCTGGAAGGCCAGGCCAGTCAGCTGGGACAGCAGGCGTCTCAGGAGTGTGACAGGCTGGCTAAGGACAGGAACCTTACCCTGCAGATTCTCCATAAGGTAACATTACAGTACAGTCCATATCTGGCCCAGCAGCCACTCTACGATCTACACATATACAGAAATGACATTGTTGGTTATTACTCAGTTTTTTGTAATTGGACTGGTGATTCCCATGAAACCCCTTTTGAAAATGACTATAATTTGAATCTAATCATTATCACTCTCTGGTCTTGCTTGACAAGTCATTACCACATGAAGGGCAATGTGCCGTGCCAGCCACATCCGATTTAAGTCAATTAATTAAGAGCTTGTTGGCGGTTTTCCCATTTGTTGACATTTCATTTTCGATCTTCATTACTCGGCACATGTGCTGCCTTGTCCCCAGCTTTTCTGCAAGTGGCACATTTTCTAATTTGGTAAAGAAACTACGGCGATCCATAATCAGGACAGAGTCAGATAGTTTCAGCAATGTAACGTACAAGAAGCTATGTCTTAATACAACCATACTGTAACCAGGGGATAGTGATGGGTGAGGTAAGCTGTCATTTGGTCTTGTCACAGTCTCATGTGTTCTGGTGTCTCTGTGTTCTAGGAGAAAGAGAGACTATTGGCCCTAGAGAAGAGGTACCTCAGCCTTACTGGAGGAAGAAGTTTCCCTAAGAGTTCCAGCACCATGAAAGAGGTGAGGGGGGTTTATCTTACCGTCTTACAGGGGTCGCGCACCTACAAGGACAGTTATCTATCATGACGCAGACAGATGAACGGACCTCCACTCGGATCACTTGTCTAAAGCCACACTCCTTCATTTGTGAAAGAACAACAAAGACCACCAACAAAAATGTTAACAATGGAGAAAATGCAAATAGTAGGCTTATGCTACTAGATTTCTATGATACATCTGTTGTTCTCAATTAATGATTTCCCATGAGTGCAACGTTTCTTCAAGTACAAAATTACAGACTTTGGCTTTAAGGGAAATGTTATGGTTTATGTAGTTGAGATGGTAGAATGTTTAACTGGTGAATATAACTTTTTACCTCAGGTGTAGGTCTGGTGTGTCTTGTTCTACTACTTGTGTGTCAGAGTAACCATTTATTTACTGTGTTTAACACGATGTGGTGTCGGCTTGTGAAGTATGGCCTTATTTACATTGTGGTCGGATACAGTTGATAACATCAGTCAAACTGGTTTGATCCGATAAATCAGATCCGACTGACATATTTTTTTTGATTGGAAACATCTGTAATTTGATGATGGATTGCACATAATATCTCAACACAGGCCAGCGAGATACAAATCTGATCTGAATCCCCGGCTGTGTTGTTTATTCTGAAAACCGATTTAGTCTCGTGTTCTGACATAACCTATCAACCTGCGTTCTTATGCATTTAGACCAAGTTCATTACATGAGATACCTATCAGTTTCATTGTTGAATTGGATATAATGGACTCTTTTAGACCACTGTAAACTAGCCCTATTAAACTGAGGATAACATGCAGGGGCACTCAATGTGCAATAACACCTATGATTGACCCTTTTGTGATTGACACTTATTATCCCAATACTGTATTGACACCTAGTGGAGGTTAGAGGGACATACACCGTAACTGCAACAGGAGCTGAAACCAGTGTCCCTGACTTCCTATTGAAACAGGAAGTGCTCCATATCAGCGAGACTGACCTGTTAGAGGACTCCCACTCCCAGCATCCTTTCTGCCAACCTACTGCTTCCTATTTAAGCTCCTCCTCTCAGTTATACCCAGGGGGCAGCCCGTCAGAGGTAACCAGACTAACTGTCACTGCATGACACCTAAACTCACTCACTGTAACCCCCCATGCACAGTTTGTCCAAAAATTAAAGGCCCACTCTGTGATATTTACAGCTTTATAGGAAACTAAGTTCCGAGGCTGCCATTTTATTGTTGTTTTTTCATTAAGGAGTGGGCCTTTAAGAGGTCTGCGTGAGTTATGTCTTGTTACCCCCAATCACTCATAGCAAATTTCACCCTGCCCCCCATATGTAGCTTAAAAACACATTTGGTCATCCTGTGAGGCCCTTGAAGTACGGTACTGATTTGAATGTCGTCATTGTTTGTCTTTATGAAATACTTGGTCTGTTGGATTAACTGTGGCCATTTTAATTGATGTTGTGTGTCTCCAACTTTTAGAATGGGCAAAAGCATAAACAACTCATGCTACAACTGGGGTGTGAGGATGCTGTGTTTGTGTGAAGATTTAGCCAGAGGCTCACATGCACAATACTTTGTCTCTCATTGAAGTGTACTATTCTGTTTGGTTTGTGTGGTACACATTTCTCTATTAGCATTTTGCTATCCTTTGAAGATGGCGAGAGCTTGTTGACATCTCTGTTATTGTATTCTTTTGCCACATGTTTTCAGTTCTCCAGCTCGATGTGAGCCTTGGGGAATTGTGGGAAATTACAGGGTAGAGAAATGCTGTGCTCTTTATTTTGTCCGTTCATATACAGTGAGGGAAAAAAATATTTGATCCCCTGCTGATTTTGTACGTTTACCCACTGACAAAGACATGATCAGTCTATAATTTTAATGTTAGGTTTATTTGAACAGTGAGAGACAGAATAACAACAAAAAAATCCAGAAAAACGCATGTCAAGAATTTTATAAATTGATTTGCATTTTAATGAGGGAGATAAGTATTTGACCCCTCTGCAAAACATGACTTAGTACTTGGTGGCAAAACCCTTGTTAGCAATCACAGATGTCAGACGTTTCTTGTAGTTGGCCACCAGGTTTGCACACATCTCAGGAGGGATTTTGTCCCACTCCTCTTTGCAGATCTTCTCCAAGTCATTAAGGTTTCGAGGCTGACGTTTGGCAACTTGAACCTTCAGCTCCCTCCACATATTTTCTATGGGATTAAGGTCTGCAGACTGGCTAGGCCACTCCAGGACCTTAATGTGCTTCTTCTTGAGCCACTCCTTTGTTGCCTTGGCCGTGTGTTTTGGGTCATTGTCATGCTGGAATACCCATCCACGACCCATTTTCAATGCCCTGGCTGAGGGAAGGAGGTTCTCACCTATGATTTGACGGTACATGGCCCCGTCCATCGTCCCTTTGATGCGGTGAAGTTGTCCTGTCCCCTTAGCAGAAAAACACCCCCAAAGCATAATGTTTCCACCTCCATGTTTGACGGTGGGGATGGTGTTCTTGGGGTCATAGGCAGCATTCCTCCTCCACCAAACACGGCGAGTTGAGTTGATGCCAAAGAGCTCCATTTTGGTTACCAATTAGACTATGGTCCCAGCTGCCTTGATCATTGACAAGATCCTCCCGTGTAGTTCTGGGCTGATTCCTCACCGTTCTCATGATCATTGCAACTCCACGAAGTGAGATCTTGCATGGAGCCCCAGGCCGAGGGAGATTGACAGGTCTTTTGTGTTTTTTCCATTTGCGAATAATCGTACCAACTGTTGTCACCTTCTCACCAAGCTGCTTGGCAATGGTTTTGTAGCCCATTCCAGCCTTGTGTAGGTCTACAATCTTCTACCTGACATTCTTGGAGAGCTCTTTGGTCTTGGCCATGGTGGAGAGTTTGGAATATGATTGATTGCTTCTGTGGACAGGTGTCTTTTATACAGGTAACAAGCTGAGATTAGGAGCACTCCCTTTAAGAGTGTGCTCCTAATCTCAGCTCGTTACCTGTATAAAAGACACCTGGGAGCCAGTAATCTTTCTGATTGAGAGGGGGTCAAATACTTATTTCCCTCATTAAAATGCAAATCAATTTATAACATTTTTGACATGTGTTTTTCTGGATTTTTTTGTTGTTATTCTGTCTCTCACTGTTCAAATAAACCTACTATTAAAATTATAGACTGATCATTTCTTTGTCAGTGGGCAAACGTACAAAATCAGCAGCGGATCAAATACTTTTTTCCCTCACTGTAGTTGTTCATGTTTTTCACACAAGCTTGTGTGTTTATATTTTAAAAACACAAGATAAAGCAGCAGCTTGTCTTGGAAGGTTGTAAAGTGTGTGCACGTGCACATTTTTTATATGGGTGCACATCCGTGTGTGTGTATGAGTATGCATATTATGAAAAGGACGTGTCATGGAGTGAGCTCATGGCCTCTTGTCCTGTTTGGTTTGCGTTGCTTTACTTTGGCTCTCAGGAGTACATGAAGCTCTCGGATGTCTATAAGATGTATGGGAGTGATTGCCATGACACCCAACTCACCACCTCTGCTCAGCATGGCCTCTCGCTCACCCTAGACGCAGCTGTCCCCTGCGAGGTACCATTGCCCTCTCTTTCTCTCTCTCACTATGTCTCACTCTCTTTCACTCTATCTTTCTCTCCTTATCACTCGCCCTCGGTTTCTTTCTCTTTCTTTCTCTCTCTCACTCCATCTTTTCATTCTTTCACCTGTTGCTCCTCTCTCTAGCTGTCTGCTTCTAGGTAGCTTACTGTACTTACAAATTGCTGTATTGGCTTTCTGCTACATGGCCCTCTCCTTGATATAATCAGCTCAACTAACCTCTGCATTACTGATTGAGAATTTTGAGGATAATGGTACCAGACCTGGATCAAACACATACAGTGCATTCGGAAAGTATTCAGACCCCTTGACTTTTTCGACATCTTGTTACATTACAACCTCATTATAAAATTGATTAAATTGTATACATTTTTTTTTATATATAACATTTACATAAGTATTCAGACCCTTTACTCAGTACTTTGTTGAAGCACCTTTGGCAGCGACTACAGCCTCAAGTCTTCTTTGGTATGACGCTACAAGCTTGGCACACCTGTATTTGGGGAGTTTCTCCCATTCTTCTCTGCAGATCCTCTCAAGCTCTGTCAGGTTGGATGGGGAGCGTCGCTGCACAGCTATTTTCAGGTCTCTCCAGAGATGTTCAATCGTGTTCAAGTCCGGGCTCTGGTTGGGCCACTCAAGGACATTCAGAGACTTGTCCCGAAGCCACTCCTGGGTTGTCTTGGCTGTGTGTTTAGGGTCGTTGTCCTGTTGGAAGGTGAACCTTCTCCCCAGTCTGAGGTCCTGAGCACTCTGGAGCAGGTTTTCATCAAGGATTTCTCTGTACTTTGATCCGTTCATATTTCCCTCGATCCTGACTAGTCTCCCAGTCCCTGCCGCTGAAAAACATCCCCACAGCATGATGCGGACAACACCATGCTTCACCATAGGGATGGTGCCAGATTTCCTTGACGTGACGCTTGGCATTCAGGCCAAAGACTTCAATCTTGGTTTCATCAGACCAGAGAATGTTGTTTCTCATGTTCTGAGAGTCCTTTAGGTGCCTTTTGTAAACTCCAAGCGGGCTGTCATGTGCTTTTTACTGAGGAGTGGCTTCCGTCTGGCCACTCTACCATAAAGGCCTGATTGGTGGAGTGCTGCAGAGATTGTTGTCCTTCTGGAAGGTTCTCCCATCTCCACCGAGGAACTCTGGAGCTTTGTCAGAGTGACCGTCAGGTTCTTGGTCACCTCCCTGACCAAGGCCCTTCTCCCTCGATTGCTCAGTTTTGGACAATTCAATCCATTTTAGAATAAGGCTATAACGTAACAAAATGTGGAAAAAGGGAAGGGGTCTGAATACTTTCCGTATGCATTGTATCTCATATACATTCAAAAACTTGCCAGTATTTTAGGTGAGCTTGATTTAGATTGGAGCTTGCACTTTTGGAACTATTTAATTGGATCCATTGTACCAGGCTACTGAATCAAGCACAGCTCAAGTATTTTACATATGTATTTGACCCAGGTCTGGATGGTATGATGGGTTGATATTATTGAAAGACTATTCATGTGTGAGTCAGGTTTACTGGCATGTATTTCACATGCTGTCCTTGTTGCTGCTGTTTTCCTCCCTGTTGATGTGTGTCCTTCTCTGCCTGTGTTTCCCTCTCTTTCCCTCTTTGCCCTTTGACCTCCTGTCTGCCTGTCTATCTGTGGCTCCCTGAATGAAGGAGTACGTGACTGTGGGCCAGTTAACTCAGATCTTTGGGATGCCGAAGGTCGAGTCCTCCCCTACCTCTCCTCTTCGGCCCCTCCAGTCAAGAGCGGGAGACCCCGCCTTCTCCTGCCTCTCCTTTCCTCATGGCTCCTGCCCCTCTCTCTCTGTTGAGGTGTGTCTCTGGTCTCTCTCTCTTCCTTCTCACCCACCTCTCCTCCACCTCTCGTTTCTGTGAAGATGCCCCAAATGCCCCCTCGACCCCAGTGTCCAAAGCTGGTTGGATTGACGTCATTACAACCAGTTTTCAACCATGTTTGTAATTGGTTGTAAACTGGTTGTATTGATGTCATTTCAACCAGTTTTTCCCCATTGAGACACGTTTTTGTTAGCATTTGCTGATGTTTCAAGAAGATGAACATTGACACAAAAAAACATAACATTTAGAAAAATATGTATATTTCTGTCACTCCACCTGTTCCTCTTATTTGCTCATTAATGCTTTATTTTCCTATTTCTCTTCCTCTTCTACTCCACTCTCTTGCTCTGTCCATCCTGTCCTTTGCCTCTCTGCTGCCTCTTACTGTGGACTCTTAACTGCGGCCCTCTAGTACCAGCCTGAGCGCAGTAGGCCTCAAATCCCCACTCTAGATTTAGAGCAGTGGTACCAGGAGGTGATGGCTGCTGGGGAGAGCAGCCAGCTCTGCCCCCCTCCCCCTCTACCAGCTAAATCTCTCTCCGCTCGCAGGCCTATGCAGGTAATTCTCAGAGGCGCTGCCTACTCCTCTTTTCCATTCCTCCCCTCTTCCATTGCTTCTGTTCTGTCTTCAAATGGCTTTTCAAGTGCAGTGTGCTTTGTTGATTGTTCAATGATGGTCTGTCTGGGCTTGCTGCCACTCATGCATTTAGTTTTCCCTTTGTCATTAGTTTGAATTCTTTAAGCATCTTTCACATGCTTTACGGTAATATGTTTGTATGTTTTGTCAGTATTCAATCAAGCAGTAGTACCACTGATGGATGTCATTACATTGCACTGGAATATGAAATGTTCAACCTGGTTGAATATTCAAAAATAATTCTGTAAAATGTGCATTGTATTTGATGTACTACTAGGTTATACTACAGTACATAGAAGTACAGCCAAAGGGTTGGGATCAATTCCAAGTACTTGAAATATAAATTTACCCCAATCTGGGTATAGCCTAGACTGCAATCAATCTCTGCTTTATTTACTGGCACAATGAAAAGCCATAAGAACTCATACTGTCACGATCGTCATAAGAGGCAGACCAAGGCGCAGCGTGATAAGCGTACATTCTTTTAATGAGTACACACACGAACTAAACGATACGTGAAGTCCTAGGGTTAAACACAAACCTTACGGATCAAGATCCCACAATACAAAAGTGCCAACAGGCTGCCTAAGTATGGATCCCAATCAGAGACAACGAGAATCAGCTGCCTCTGATTGGGAACCACCCTGGCCAACATAGAAATACAACGATCTAGAACAGAAACATAGAAAACTAAACATAGAAACTAACACCCTGGCTCAACATAAAGAGTCCCCAGAGCCAGGGCGTGACACATACTGTATGGCCAACTGAGGTCTTGGGACAAACCACCTGAAGGTTGTGGTTACAACAGGGTGTGTGTCTTCACACTGGCATCTGCCAGTAAAGCACTTTGACACTGACTCTGTCATTACACCTGTGGGAGGAATCAAAGGACCACCGATAAAAGGGATGCTGCTGGTGCTGCCATAATAATCATTGGCTGTGTCTGATAACTCAGTAGTAGTAGCAATTAAAGTTCACTCACCAAAAGTAGGCTGCTTTAGCATTTTCAAAGATATTAATCAATATGTTGGTTGAATTGAAATGTCAATAAATGTGCCTTTGAAAACGCTAAAGAAGCCTATTGTTTTGTATTTGTACCCTACTGTACTTCTCACAGCATCTCCCACCAGACTAGTTTTGAATAAGCACCACAGTTTATATTTGTCATTCCATTTAATGTAATACATGTTCTACTATGTGCGGGATAACCTCAAACAATTAGTCTACTGCGTTTTGATAGCTGATCCTGGTCCGTCTTCACTCCTCCTCCCAGGTGTTCCGCTCCAAGCTGGACAGTGATGCTGGACAGACGGTACATCAACCCAAAGTAGGCTCCGGATCCCATCTGCAGTACGTAGCCGCCACACTGGGACGCAACACAACCTCCAAGGTAAACCTCATCACCTCCGCTCCATCACTACTGGTTGGCTAGTAGGGTCTTCAGCGGATTATGTAATCAACTATTATTATTTGAGGTTTATTTAAGGTTCATTTGAATAGTACACATTCACAGCTAAAATCTGAATTGCAGCCTACTCCTGCTTAAATACATATTACCAAATTAAAATACAAAATAGAAGGTACTGGTGTAGGAGGGAGGTCAAGTGTGTGGCTGGATCGTGTAGATCTTTTCTGAGGCAGCCATTTGCTGTAATCCTGTGATTTAACTAGCTTCATCATAATAGTATATGGTAAGTTTCCATGAGAAAGGTTACAAGCACATAGGGCCCTTAAACATAATCAATCTGAAGGTACACTACATGACCAAAAGTATGTGGTCACCTGCTCGTCGAACATCTCATTCCAAAGTCATGGGCATTAATATGGAGTTTGCTGCTATAACAGCCTCCACTCTTCTGGGAAGGCTTTCCACTAGATGTTGGAACATTGCTGCAGGGACTTTCTTCCATTCAGCCACAAGAGCATTAGCGAGGTCGGGCACTGATGTTGGGTGATTAGGCCTGGCTCGCAGTCGGCGTTCCAATTCATCCCAAAGGTGTTAGTTGGGGTTGAGGTCAGGGCTCTGTGCAGGCTAGTCAAGTTCTTCCACACCAATCTCAACAAACCATTTCTGTATGGACCTCGCTTTGTGCACTGGGGCATTGTAATGCTGAAACAGGAAAGGGCCTTCCCCAAAGTGTTGCCACAAAGTTGGAAGCACAGAATCATCTAGGATGTCATCGTATGCTGTAGCGTTAAGATTTTATTTAAGGAGCCTAGCCCGAACCATGAAAAACAGCCCCAGACCATTGTTCCTCCTCCACCAAACTTTACAGTTGGCACTATGCATTCAGGCAGGTAGCGTTCTCCCGGCATCCACCAAACGCAGATTCATCTGTCGGACTGCCAGATGCTGAAGCGTGATTCATCACTCCAGAGAACGCGTTTCCAATGCTCCAGAGTCCAATGGAGGCGAGCTTTACACCACTCCAGCCGACGCTTGGCATTGCGAATGGTGATTGTAGGCTTGTGTGAGGGTAGGCTTGTGTGAGGCTATGCTTGGCCATGGAAACCCATTTCATGAAGCTCCCGACGAACAGTTTATTTTTTATATTTTTATTTTTAGTAATTTAGCAGACGCTCTTATCCAGAGCGACTTACAGGAGCAATTAGGGTTAAGTGCCTTGCTCAAGGGCACATCGACAGAAGTTATTGTGCTGACGTTGCTTCCATAGGCAGTTTGGAACCCGGTAGTGAGTGTTGCAACCGAGGACAGACGATTTTACCACTCGCGGTCCCGTTCTGTGAGCTTGTGTGGTCTACCACTTCATGGCTGAGCCGTTGTTGCTCCTAGACGTTTCCACTTCACAATAACAGCACTTATAGTTGACCGGAGGAGCTCTAGCAGGGCAGAAATTTGACGAACTGACTTGTTGGAAAGGTGGCATCCTATGACAGTGCCACGTTGGAAGTCACTGAGCACTTCAGTAAGGCCATTCTACTGCCAATGTTTGTCTATGGAGATTGTATGGCTGTGTGCTCGATTATATACACCTGTCCGCAACGGGTGTGGCTGAAATAGCCGAATAAACTAATTTGAAGGGGTGTCCACATACTTTTGTATATATAGTGTATGTATCCTGCTCAGGTCACCTGGTGTTTTGATTTGACCTAGCATGTGGCTACATACCGGTAAACAACGGCAGGTTGTTAGTGTTGTGTGTTACATGATAGTATCAGATTTACAGATTATATTGCTCACAAGACAAAGAGCTTGATGTTTATCTGTAGCTGTTGTCATGCGTCAAAGGTTAATGCATAGCATATAAGTATTTTTGTGTAAACCTTGATGGTTTTTAATTTGTGTACTGCCATTGCGTTGATATGTTGCTGTATGTGTTTTTCATTGTTATTTGAATTTAATCAATCAATCACTCTCTTTCTTTTGTGTCCTTCCAGAGCCCACTGATGGTCCCCAACAGTACAGGCAGTTTGCCACGGAACTTGGCTGCCACCATGCAGGACATAGAGACCAAGAGAGCGCTAGCCTTACAGCAGAAAGGTAACAGCCTTTTGGGGGTTTACACCAGGCTACTGTCCCATGTTCTGGTCTGAGGCAAGAGTTTCCTTATAGGGTTCCAGCAGTAAACATCAACATGGAATTAGTATAGTTATAATGTGTTTAAGATGGTCCTCTCCAGGTTTCTATGAACAAGATTTGTTGTCTGTCATTTCAAGATTTCCTGTCACGCTTCAGAGAAACCACACCCCATCCCTGTCCCTGTCCCTATCATCCCACTTCCTCCCCCACCCAGTCTCTTCCTCCACGGTTATGACCCCTCCCTCGCTTGCCTCCTCTAGCTCGGATTTAACCACCATGTTGTCCTCCTGTCTGTCTCTGTCTGTCACCCTGTCCTTCCGTCCCTCCATCCCAACCATCCCTCTCTCCATCCACTCTCTATGTCACAGAGTCCTCCTTGCCTTCCACGTCTGAGTCTCCCTGCTCCACCATGGACAATCCCACAGACAGACAGATAGACAGACAGACCTCTGAGCCTGGGAGTGGGTTTGGTCTCATGTTCATCTCATAAAAGTCTTACGTTCATCTCATATAAACTCTCCATCCTTCTTCTCCATCTTCTTGTCTGCCTCCATCCTCCTGCTGAGAATCAACAATGCATGTGTTCGGTTGAAGCAGTGCTTTTCATCTGTCAGGCCACCTTTGATCCACTTTAACTTTGCGCCTGTTTTTAGAGCGGTATCTGTCAGTTATATGATGGATAGCTAGCATGGGTTTGAACTTGAAGATAACTTCCTTGGGTTACTGGATCATTTTGTATTTGTATTTTTGCTGCTACTGTACTTAGGAAGCTTTGGTGATGAGGAAACATGTTGCTGGTTGAATTGAGCTTGGGCTTTTGATAATACCAAGCACATACATGTTGTATGTTTGATGTATGTGTGGGGCCTGGTTTCATCTGTCACTGACCTGTGGTACTTTACATGGACTCACATGCAATCTTTTAGGTTTACTCTGTCTTCATAGCTGGGTGATTCTGATCGTCATGACCTTTTGCTTGGCAAGTGGATATGAATCGTGTGTGTGTGTGTGTGTGTGTGTGTTTGAGTTGGTTGAGGGGTGAGTATGTGTGTCTGCATGCTGAGGGCACTGCCATGCATCCTGGAACAGTCATCATGGGACATGATGGGGTATCCCTGGACGTGATCAAACAACCCACAGATCAGCTGTGACCTCCTACTTCCTCCCTCTCTCTGTCCCTCTCCCTCCACCCTCAGGCCACCAGGTGATCGAGGAGCAGCGGCGGCGTTTGGCCGAGCTGAAGCAGCGGGCTGCAGTGGAGGCCCAGTGTCAATGGGATGCGCTCCACGGCTCACAGACCCACCTCAACACCCAGTACGCCCCCTCTCACGTCCACGGCCCTCCCATGGTGCACCACTCCATCCTGCACCACCAGCCACCGTCGGCGGGCGAGCAGCCGTACGACACACTGAGCCTGGAGAGCTCTGACAGCATGGACACCAGCGTCTCCACCGGCAACAACTCGGCCTGCTCCCCCGACAACATGTCCAGGTCAGAGAAACGCGCACACACACACATGCCTACCATCAAACACACAGACACACACACACATACCTTCGAACACACACACACGCTTCACCGATAACATATCCAGGTCAAGGTCAGAGAGAGGTACACTCAGCCTTACATGACACACACACACACACAAACGCTGGCTAATGTCTGCCAAGGGATCTCCGACAAGTAACCACATGGGTCAAATGACTCCTCCCCACGTCTTGTCTGACTGAATTGTGCAACATCTGTCAATTTGGTCAAGCTGTCTTGTATCAGCTCATTATTCATTACTGCCTGTCTACTAGTGACAAAGGAAGCCTGCTTGTCTGCTCAGCTGTTGTCCATCCACTGTTAGCAGTATTCTGATGGATATTTAATGTACAATATAGGTAATGACCCATTTTATAACAGTCAGTGATAGTTAATAAGTGTTTGTGGTAGTTAGTGTCCACATAGTAAGTTACTGTTTTTATGACCAGTGATGACTGGTCTTTTAGGACTGACTTACTTAATCCTCTTCGTTCCTATGTAAGAAGCTTGACGATCTTTAGCCATTTTTGGGGTTGTCTTCAATGACGGGCCACAGTTTTGGGACTTAAGAGTATCATACGCTGTTACTCATAAATATATTGAATGATGGATGTCATTGGTAGTTGAGCTGTATCTTTGACTGTGTCTGGTTTGCAGTGCCAGTGGGATGGATGCGCTGAAGATCGAGGAGATGGAGAAGATGCTGAAAGAAGCCCACCTAGAGAAGGCCAGGCTCATAGAATCCAGAGTAAGACACCAACTCACACACCAAGGCTAGCTTCCTATCAGATCCCATACTGACGTCTTACTTCAGTGTTACTGCCAGAGGAGGACTGGCCACCCCTCGGAGCCTGGTTCCTCTATGTTTCTTCCCAGGTTCCTGCCTTCTACTGAGTTTTTCCTGTGCTTCTGCCTCTGCATTGCCTGGTCTTTGAGGTTTTAGGCTGGGTATCTGTAAAGCACTTTGTGACAACTGCTGATGTAAAAAGGGCTTCATGTTCATCCTCTCACCTTCTCTCCAGGAGCGAGAGAGCCATGCCCGTAGGCAGATGCTGGAGGAGGAGAGGAAGCGGCGCGAGGAGGCTGAGAAGAGGCTGCAGGACGAGACAGTGCACAGGCAGCAGCTGGTGGACAAGGAGGTGAAGATGAGGAGCAAGAACTTCTCCCAGGTGAGCCTCAGGCCCGATAACAACTCAAAAATCCAAACAAAAAGAATATACAGTTTGAGATCTCTCTTTGATCCTCTTAGTCGTATAGGCTTTTGAAAGACTCGTTACACGTTTGTTTCCTTCTTTCCTCAGGCTCGTCCTATGACTCGTTACCTGCCCATCCGCAAGGAGGAGTTTGACCTGCGCTCCCACATCGAGTCATCCGGCCACAACGTGGAGACCTCTTACCACGTGATCCTCACCGAGAAGATGTGCAAGGGTTACCTGGTCAAGATGGGCGGCAAGATCAAGTCGTGGAAGAAACGCTGGTTTGTCTTCGATCGCCTCAAAAGGACCTTCTCCTATTACGTTGGTAAGGAAACTGCTGCCATTTATATACATTTTTATATACAAAAATATTTGTGCGCTCTTATTGCTCTGATCGAGCCAATGGGAGATACAGTACATGGCATATTCATACCCTTTGACCTTAATGTAGACTGTATTTGTGAAAGGTGGTGTAAATGAGTTTGATAGAGATAAACATTAGGATACACAAGGGTAATGCACATTTGTGGGTAGCGGCTTGGTAGCAGGCTTTAGATACAGTAATATGCAGATGCTTGGTGATTTGAAATATAAAACAGCTAATTATGAAATAATTACTCCATATAAAATTGCAATTACTTTTCCTAGAAAATTACGCTTTTATTATTTTTATGTAGCGGTTGCAGTTTATGCCTGAAGGTAAAAAGGGGCATAAAGTTACCCCCGGTTCCTCTTGTGTTTTTGCAGTGGTTGATGAAATAAGCTGCAATATTGTTCCATAAGGGTGTAAGAATGTAGAAATCGTTACAGATTCTGCTATATAAATGTAAAGGTAATTTCCGATGGAGCCGACGTGCAGCGTTTACTGTGAATGCAGTCTCTGCTAAAGGGGGAACATTGCCTTTAAATTTAAATCGCGCTGTAAAACTGAACTGTAAAACTGAGGAGTGAATAGAGCGTAAGTCTAAAATACAATAGTAGTCAGAGACACTGCAACCTATTTAAAACAAAAAGGTAGCCCTGTTCTCAACAAAAAATTACTTGAAACATACATATATTTCAAGGAACTTGTTTGGCTGCAATAAGCTTAAAATGGACATGATGCTACAGAATGTTTATTTTATGACACTGGCTTAGGAAATACTGTACGAACTCAAGAATAGAATTGTGATAAACAATGAAAAGGATTATCCTTCGCTACATATATTCCATGACTCTCTCTCTCCCTCTGTCATCAAAGAAACTGCACTGTAGGAATCGAAGAAAATAATATGTGATATTTTTACCAAAGCATTTTGTCATGTTCATTTACTCAACAGACAAGCACGAGACCAAACTGAAAGGAGTCATCTACTTCCAGGCCATTGAAGAGGTCTACTATGATCACTTGCGTAGTGCCACGAAGGTACGTTCTACCTATGTTATTTACCCAACACTCGGAGAACAATCTTTATACAGAACAAAATTAAATCCTCTTTTAATCACTTTTCGTTTTATGCTTTCACTGTACTGATGAAATATTCATCTTTCTTTAAGATCTTTAGTTTTATACACGTTTTGCTTCTTCCACGCTTTCATTTCTCTTCTCACTCTTTTGCTTTGACTGGCTGGTTTCACAGAAAGGATTTTTCAACCTCAATTTGACCAATGTATGTATCACTTTTTGTCTCAGTGAACTCACAGACCCACCCATTGCTTGTTCTCTGCCACCCTTACCCCCTTACCCCAGTGCAACCTGTGTGTGTGTTTGATTGTTTACATAGAACGTTCAGATAGAAATGTGTCATGTAGAATAGATAGGATTGTCTGTCATATAGAATAAGGATTTGTGTCAGCTCTACATATTCCATTGCTATCTGCAACTTTCAGTTGAATACCCACCAGGGGTGTGATCATGCATGATTAATACAAGACATAATGAAAACCCACGGCCATTACAGAACAGTGCATCTCTGGATCCTCACATTTTCCCCTCTTGGTTTCATATTTGTCTGAAGTTCCTACATTGGAGTTGTTTGCTTCTTAGAGTGATCATTCCCTTGTCTGTTCCTCTGTGGAATTAGTTGTTTGAATCTGTCCCTTCAATTAATACAATTGAAACAGACTAAATATGGGTGGATTATCCAGGTGTGTGTTTGCGTGTGTGCATATCAAAGTGTTTTATTTCACATACTGTATATAGCTTATGAACTCTAAGAAGTGCATGTGTGTTGGGCGTGTTATGGTTTGTGTGTAGAATGTCATATTCTCTGTGTGTGTGTACTGTCCTGCTGGCAGTCGAGCTGCTGCAGTGTTTCCTGTATTCTGTTTTGAATCTCTGATTGTCTCCTTCAGCACTTTTCTGAGCTCCTGCCTCCTCAGTTTCGAAGAGAGGTGTGTGTGCCTGCCATGCCCTGATTAACTGTGTGTTGTGGATAAACACGTGGTAGAGCAGTGTAAGGCAGATTTTTACAGGTTCAGTAGACAGAAGTGTGACTGTCTGCATAGGAGAAGCCCCATTGTCCATCAACGAGACAATCAGTTGTTTGAATGTCATAAATTGTTGAAAAAAGTACACTGCTCCAAAAAATTAAGGGAACACTAAAATAACACATCCTAGATCTGAATGAATGAAATACTCTTATTAAATACTTTTTTCTTTACATAGTTGAATGTGCTGACAACAAAATCACACAAAAATTATCAATGGAAATCAAATTTATCAACCCATGGAGGTCTGGATTTGGAGTCACCCTCAAAATTAAAGTGGAAAACCACACTACAGGCTGATCCAACTTTGATGTAATGTCCTTAAAACAAGTCAAAATGAGGCTCAGTAGTGTGTGTGGCCTCCACGTGCCTGTATGACCTCCCTACAACGCCTGGGCATGCTCCTGATGAGGTGGCGGATGGTCTCCTGAGGGATCTCCTCCCAGACCTGGACTAAAGCATCCGCCAACTCCTGGACAGTCTGTGGTGCAACGTGGCGTTGGTGGATGGAGCGAGACATGATGTCCCAGATGTGCTCAATTGGATTCAGGTCTGGGGAACGGGCGGGCCAGTCCATAGCATCAATGCCTTCCTCTTGCAGGAACTGCTGACACACTCCAGCCACATGAGGTCTAGCATTGTCTTGCATTAGGAGGAACCCAGGGCCAACCGCACCAGCATATGGTCTCACAAGGGGTCTGAGGATCTCATCTCGGTACCTAATGGCAGTCAGGCTACCTCTGGCGAGCACATGGAGGGCTGTGCGGCCCCCCAAAGAAATGCCACCCCACACCATGACTGACCCACCGCCAAACCGGTCATGTTGGAGGATGTTGCAGGCAGCAGAACGTTCTCCACGGCGTCTCCAGACTGTCACGTCTGTCACATGTGCTCAGTGTGAACCCACTTTCATCTGTGAAGAGCACAGGGCGCCAGTGGCGAATTTGCCAATCTTGGTGTTCTCTGGCAAATGCCAAACGTCCTGCACGGTGTTGGGCTGTAAGCACAACCCCCACCTGTGGACGTCGGGCCCTCATACCACCCTCATGGAGTCTGTTTCTGACCGTTTGAGCAGACACATGCACATTTGTGGCCTGCTGGAGGTCATTTTGCAGGGCTCTGGCAGTGCTCCTCCTGCTCCTCCTTGCACAAAGGCGGAGGTAGCGGTCCTGCTGCTGGGTTGTTGCCCTCCTACGGCCTCCTCCACGTCTCCTGATGTACTGGCCTGTCTCCTGGTATCGCCTCCATGCTCTGGACACTACGCTGACAGACACAGCAAACCTTCTTGCCACAGCTCGCATTGATGTGCCATCCTGGATGAGCTGCACTACCTGAGCCACTTGTGTGGGTTGTAGACTCCGTCTCATGCTACCACTAGAGTGAAAGCACCGCCAGCATTCAAAAGTGACCAAAACATCAGCCAGGAAGCATAGGAACTGAGAAGTGGTCTGTGGTCACCACCTGCAGAACCATTCCTTTATTGGGGGTGTCTTGCTAATTGCCTATAATTTCCACCTGTTGTCTATTCCATTTGCACAACAGCATGTGAAATGTATTGTCAATCAGTGTTGCTTCCTAAGTGGACAGTTTGATTTCACAGAAGTGTGATTGACTTGGAGTTACATTGTTTAAGTGTTCCCTTTATTTTTTTGAGCAGTATATATATGGGCAAATGTCGCAACTCTCTAACACTTGCCTGAGGATTTTGGGTTGTCGTTTAAGATATTTGATTATTGTAATGCACCCATTGTACTAATCATGACCAATTAATTTAGTACAAATATGTACGGACAGAGTATGATATTGGTTAATTTTTTTTATTTGTAACCAAACTCTTGTACTGTAGTTGAATCAGAGACAATATCTGAGGGTAGCGTGTAGAAAAAAACTCTCCGCTCACAGATTCTGCATTCAATCTAACCTCCAATGACCCCCAAAAGGATATGGGTAGCTGCGGCACCTGCACGCCCCTTAACACAGAGTGCTGTTTGGGATAAATAGGAGTCATTAAATGACAAGTCATCTCCATATTACTGACCTTTGACCTTTCTCTCTCCTCCAATCCCAGAGCCCCAATCCCTCGTTGACCTTCTGTGTGAAGACTCACGACAGACTCTACTTCATGGTGGCCCCTGTCCCGGAGACCATGAGGATATGGATGGACGTTATAGTAACCGGAGCCGAGGGCTACACACAGTTCATGAACTAATAGGGGAGAGTTGCGTACGGTGGCCTAGCGGTGACAAAGGGTCATAAGGAGACTGTTTCGGCAGGGACACACTTCAATAGACTCAGGCCTTTCCCTCTCCCAGTATTGGGAAATTGCCTTTTTATTTTGTTACGTTCATTATATCTATTTTTAAATCACTTTACAATAGACATTTTTCTCCACTGGTTTTTCTACTTGCTTCTGCCTGCGGATTGAAAAAGGGAGCCCTGGAAGAGACAGACACACACTGTATATAACCAAAACAACAAAATACTGTCAGACTTTCTGCTTAAAAGCCTTTCTATATTGCCAAATGGAGATCTTGTTTTAGCTACAGGCTCTTGCTTGTGAGACCTACTTTGTGTATCAGTGTCTTTGATAGTTTAACTTGTTTTTTTTCTTTCAATTTAGTTTGTTTTTACACACTAAATGCAATATTGCCAAATTACATTAAACCAATGGTTTGACAGATGGTTGTTTTATGGAATGTTTCAAATAGAATACGAAGGCATTTGCCCGAATCTACTTAAGTTCATCAGTGAGCTAAAGATGTAATAATTTAATAAATTCTATTGAAAATGTTGGAGAATAAACCTAATTGAAATCAGTGAGACCATGACACAACCTACCAATGTCAAGAAACACACTAACTCCAGGCCATACTACATTTCTGTTCACGTCAGAGATAAAACTAGATCTTGATCCATCTGTGACCTTAGTCTACTGCTGAACTAGATTCCACTGTCTGTCTTCTACTGTAATGTTGCCAACTCCTAAAGGTGTACACACACAGTCTGTTGGCCAAGTCCTGATAACTTGATCTTATGACTTGACCCTTTGCGTAAGCAGCCATTCCATCACTGCCAGCCTACAACACCAGTAGCTCTGGGGACTACATAATGAGACCACAAACAGTACGTCATTATAATAATGCTAATCATTCTGTGCCTTGAGATGTCATAATACTCCTAGTCTGTAACTGTTAATTGAGCAGAATCGTGCTGGTCTTCTAGCTTTGTTGTTGAATTCTGATACGGTTAACAGCAATACACAAGTGCATGTGAACAGTAACCTCCCCTGAATTTCAAATCAAGTTCCAGCCCCCACTACATCCTATGATATTGCTTACACTTATCCAATTCATTCAGATCTCCACAAATGCACAGGGATTTCGGATTCAGGGTGAATTTCAGCTTTAATAGAACGTCATGATCTGGTAGCTTGACATCGTAAAGGATTCAGACAGGCTACGTGATCACGTTTTATAAATCACCATCTGAATATATTTTTAGATTAGACTATGCTGTGATTTTGAACATGTAAACCTGAGTGTTTAGGTTTGTGAAGCCTTGTGAAATTGAGTTGCATCTTTTTCTATTTATGGTTAATCTGCCAGATACAGTAGTACTGTAAACAATGTCACGTATAAGAAAAGAGACAAGACGTTAAATGTTTTTATTTTCCCCGCACCAAAATGGGTGCAAACAAATGTTCAGCATTGGCCAGAGGTATCAGTGTGAAGTTTTTTTTTTCATACTGTAAAAAGATGTATGAAATGTTATTTACTCATCATTCAACCAGTATTGTACAAAAAGCCATTTTTACTTGTCATTTAAAGAGAAGTTCAATGGTCAGAATACACTTCAGTTTTATGATAGTGTTGTATCAGTATACTTTATTTGATACAGTATACCACACTGAATAGATAACGCTCATACAAAATATCATTTCCATCTCACTTGCTCCCATCTCTCACACCATATTATGTTGACGGAACACTGTTTCATATAGCACTTTCATGTATGATTATATCGATTGTCAGATCTATTAAAACAGAAATGTTACTGTGAGTCTGGTTTGAATCCATAGCATGTTTAATTAAAACGTGTATTTTATTTTCAGTAGATGCAGTCTCATCGCAGTAGAAACGCCACTAAAATGTAGCTTTTGGCATAACGAGCTCACAATCACTTTAACAGCATGTTTAGGGTTACAACAGCAGGTTGTGACAAGTGTTAGCACAAATCAAAGTAACAAAAAAAGAATGGCGTTAAAGGTAAAATCCTACGGCCCATCTATTAAATGACATTAACATTGTAAGTGAATGCAATTTGTAAACAGATTACAAGTTGGTCAATGTGGTACCAGGAACTGTAAGCATCAAATCAAATAAATTGAGAGGTTCTATGAGCTCTGCCTAAAAATAAAAAACACTTCCTACATAGGAAAGCAATTGGTTGAGCCCTGGTCCAGTCAGCTTGTGATTGGCTCTCTGTCTGTCACACTTCATTGACTGTCGCCTGTGAAAATGACAAACATAAATAGAACATTTCCTGCTCCCTATACACGCTACCGTTCAAAAGTTTGGGGTCACTTAAATGTCCTTGTTTTTGAAAGAAAAGCAATTTGTCCATTAAAATAACACATTGATCAGAAATACAGTGTAGACATTGTTAATGTTGTAAATGGCTATTGTAGCTGGGAACTTCTGATTTAATGGAATATCTACATTAGGCGTACAGAGGCCCATTATCAGCAACCATCAGTCCTGTGTTCCAATGGCACATTGTGTTTGCTAATCCAAGTTTATCATTTTAAAAGGCTAATTGATTAGAAAAACCCTTTTGCAATTATGTTAGCACAGCTGAAAACTGTTGTGCCGATTAAAGAAGCAATAAAACTGGCCTTCTTGAGACTAGTTGAGTATCTGGAGCATCAGCAATTGTGGGTTCGATTACAGGCTCAAAATGGCCAGAAACAAAGAACTTTCTTCTGAAACTCTGTCTATTCTTGTTCTGAGTAATGAAGGCTATTCCATGTGAGAAATTGCCAAGAAACTGAAGATCTCGTACAACGCTGTGTACTACTCCCTTCACAGAACAGCGCAAACTGGCTCTAACCAGAATAGAAAGAGGAGTGGGAGGCCCCGGTGCACAACTGAGAAAGAGGACAAATACATTAGTGTCTAGTTTGAGAAACGGATGCCTCACAGGTCCTCAACTGGCAGCTTCATTAAATAGTACCCGCAAAACACCAGTCTCAACGTCAACAGTGAAGAGGCGACTCCGGGATGCTGACCTTCTAGGCAGAGTTGCAAAGAAAAAGCCATATCTCAGACTGGCCAATAAAAATAAAAGATTAAGATGGGTTAAAAAAAAGACACTGGACAGACGAATCGAAGTTTGAGGTGTTCGGATCACAAAGAACATTTGTGAGACGCAGACCAAATGAAAAGATGCTGGAGGAGTGCTTGATGCCATCTGTCAAGCATGGTGGAGGCAATGTGATGGTCTGAGGGTGCTTTGGTGGTGGTAAAGTGGGAGATTTGTACAGGGTAAAAGGGATCTTGAAGAAGGAAGGCTATCACTCCATTTTGCCATGCCATACCCTGTGGACGGTGCTTGATTGGAGCCAATTTCATCCTACAACAGGACAATGACCCAAAGCACAGCTCCAAACTATGCAATAACTATTTAGGAAAGAAGCAGTCAGATGGTATTCTGTCTATAATGGAGTGGCCAGCACAGTCACCGGATCTCAACCCTATTGAGCTGTTGTGGGAGCAGCTTGACCGTATGGTACGTAAGAAGTGCCCATCAAGCCAATCCATCTTGTGAGAGGTGCTTCAGGAACCATGGGGTGAAATCTCTTCAGATTACCTCAACAAATTCACAACTAGAATGCCAAAGGTCTGCAAGGCTGTAATTGCTGCAAATGGAGGATTCTTTGACGAAAGCAAAGTTTGAAGGACACAATTATTATTTCAATTAAAAATCATTATTTCTAACCTTGTCTCATTTGTCAATGACTACATTTCCTATGCATTTTGCTATATTTCCTATTCAAACTCATTTCATGTATGTTTTCATGGAAAACAAGGACATTTCTAAGTGACCCCAAACTTTTGAACGGTAGTGTACATCTTCATATCTACATTTGTCAGTTAGCCTAATTTCACAAACTCAAAACAAACAGAAGTATGAGACATGTAGGTTTGGTTATATACTTACTCTCTGCACATGGGGAGCTGTATTCACTTACAGCTTCATCACCTGAGAACAGAACATATGAGAATGCAGAGGTCAGTTCCTTTCTAATGATAACTTTACTTCCCTTTAAGTCAGTCAACATCATTAAACTCCCACTTCAGGGGGGTGAATCAATGGGCCCATACTGGTGATGTCTCGTTTCCTTATGTACGTAACCTAGACAGGTATTCCAGTGCCAAATATTTCAGAGAGAGTGGGGTGGCTTGGAAACTGGTATTCTTCCATTAATAGAGAAAAAAAGCATATTATATACAGTGGGGAGAACAAGTATTTGATACACTGCCGATTTTGCAGGTTTTCCTACTTACAAAGCATATAGAGCTCTGCATGACATAAGTATTTGATACATCAGAAAAGCAGAACTTAATATTTGGTACAGAAACCTTTGTTTGCAATTACAGAGATCATATGTTTCCTGTAGGTCTTGACCAGGTTTGCACACACTGCAGCAGGGATTTTGGCCCACTCCTCCATACAGACCTTCTCCAGATCCTTCAGGTTTCGGGGCTGTCGCTGGGCAATACGGACTTTCAGCTCCCTCCAAAGATGTTCTATTGGGTTCAGGTCTGGAGACTGGCTAGGCCACTCCAGGACCTTGAGATGCTTCTTACGGAGCCACTCCTTAGTTGCCCTGACTGTGTGTTTCGGGTTGTTGTCATGCTGGAAGACCTAGCTACGACCCATCTTCAATGCTCTTACTGAGGGAAGGAGGTTGTTGGCCAAGATCTCGCGATACATGGCCCCATCCATCCTCCCCTCAATACGGTGCAGTCGTCCTGTCCGCTTTGCAGAAAAGCATCCCCAAAGAATGATGTTTCCACCTCCATGCTTCACGGTTGGGATGGTGTTCTTGGGGTTGTACTCATCCTTCTTCCTCCAAACACGGCGAGTGGAGTTTAGACCAAAAAGCTATATTTTTGTCTCATCAGACCACATGACCTTCTCCCATTCCTCCTCTGGATCATCCAGATGGTCATTGGCAAACTTCAGACGGGCCTGGACATGCGCTGGCTTGAGCAGGGGGACCTTGCGTGCGCTGCAGGATTTTAATCCTTGAGGGCGTAGTGTGTTACTAATGGTTTTCTTTGAGACTGTGGTCCCAGATCTCTTCAGGTCATTGACCAGGTCCTACCGTGTAGTTCTGGGCTGATCCCTCACCTTCATGATCATTGATGCCCCACGAGGTGAGATCTTGGATGGAGCCCCAGACCGAGAGTGATTGACCGTCATCTTGAACTTCTTCCATTTTCTAATAATTGCGCCAACAGTTGTTGCCTTCTCACCAAGCTGCTTGCCTATTGTCCTGTAGCCCATCCCAGCCTTGTGCAGGTCTACAATTTTATCCCTGATGTCCTTACACATCTCTCTGGTCTTGGCCATTGTGGAGAGGTTGGAGTCTGTTTGATTGAGTGTGTGGACAGGTGTCTTTTATACAGGTAACGAGTTCAAACAGGTGCAGTTAATATAGGTAATGAGTGGAGAACAGGAGGGCTTCTTAAAGAAAAACTAACAGGTCTGTGAGAGCCGGAATTCTTACTGTTTGGTAGGTGATCAAATACTTAGTGGGGAAAAAAAGTATTTAGTCAGCCACCAATTGTGCAAGTTCTCCCACTTAAAAAGATGAGAGAGGCCTGTAATTTTCATCATAGGTACACGTCAACTATGACAGACAAAATATAATCCAGAAAATCGCATTGTAGGAGTTTTAATGAATTTATTTGCAAATGATGGTGGAAAATAAGTATTTGGTCAATAACAAACGTTTCTCAATACTTTGTTATATACCCTTTGTTGGCAATGACACAGGTCAAACGTTTTCTGTAAGTCTTCACAAGGTTTTCACACACTGTTGCTGGTATTTTGGCCCATTCCTCCATGCAGATCTCCTCTAGAGCAGTGATGTTTTGGGGCTGTCGCTGGGCAACAGACTTTCAACTCCCTCCAAAGATTTTCTATGGGGTTGAGATCTAGAGACTGGCTAGGCCACTCCAGGACCTTGAAATGCTTCTTACGAAGCCACTCCTTCATTGCCCGGGCGGTGTGTTTGGGATCATTGTCATGCTGAAAGACCCAGCCACTTTTCATCTTCAATGCCCTTGCTGGAAGGAGGTTTTCACTCAAAATCTCACGATACATGGCCCCATTCATTCTTTCCTTTACACGGATCAGTCGTCCTGGTCCCTTTGCAGAAAAACAGCCCCAAAGCATGATGTTTCCACCCCCATGCTTCACGGTAGGTATGGTGTTATTTGGATGCAACTCAGCATTCTTTGTCCTCCAAACACGACGAGTTGAGTTTTTACGAAAAAGTTCTATTTTGGTTTCATCTGACCATATGACATTCTCCCAATCCTCTTCTGGATCATCCAAATGCACTCTAGCAAACTTCAGACGGGCCTGGACATGTACTGGCTTAAGCAGGGGGACACATCTGGCACTGCAGGATTTGAGTCCCTGGCGGCGTAGTGGGTTACTGATGGTAGGCTTTGTTACTTTGGTCCCAGCTCTCTGCAGGTCATTCACTAGGTCCCCCCATGTGGTTCTGGGATTTTTGCTCACCGTTCTTTTTGCTCACATTTTGACCCCACGGGGTGAGATCTTGCGTGGAGCCCCAGATCGAGGGAGAATATCAGTGGTCTTGTATGTCTTCCATTTCCTAATAATTGCTCCCACAGTTGATTTCTTCAAACCAAGCTGCTTACCTATTGCAGATTCAGTCTTCCCAGCCTGGTGCAGGTCTACAACTTTGACAGCTCTTTGGTCTTGGCCATAGTGGAGTTTGGAGTGTGACTGTTTGAGGTTGTGGACAGGTGTCTTTTATACTGATAACAAGTTCAAACAGGTGCCATTAATACAGGTAACGAGTGGAGGACAGAGGAGCCTCTTAAAGAAGAAGTTACAGGTCTGTGAGAGCCAGAAATCTTGCTTGTTTGTAGGTGACCAAATACTTATTTTCCACCATAATTTGCAAATAAATTCATAAAAAACCTACAATGTGATTTTCTGGATTTTTTTCTATCAATTTGTCTGTCATAGTTGACGTGTACCTATGATGAAAATTACAGGCCTCTCATCTTTTTAAGTGGGAGAACTTGCACAATTGGTGGCTGACTAAATACATTTTTTCCCCACTGTATGTCATGCAATAAAATGCAGATTAATTACTTCAATCATACAATGTGAATTTCTGGATTTTTGTTTTAGATTCCGTCTCTCACAGTTGAAGTGTACCTATGATAAAAATTACAGACCTCTACATGATTTGTAAGTGGGAAAACCTGCAAAATCGGCAGTGTATCAAATACTTGTTCTCCCCACTGTATAATTTTCAATTAATGGTGCTCTATTAAAAGCTAACACGTTTTGACACTTTTTTTCAAAGGCCTAATACAGGGGGTGTCAAACTCATTTAATGGAGGGCCTAGTGTCTGCTGGTTTTTGTTTTTTTCCTTTCAGTTAAGACCTAGACAACCAGGTGAGGGGAGTTCCTTACTAATCAGTGACCTTAATTCATCAATCAAGTACAAGGGAGGAGCGAAAACCCACAGACACTCAGCCCTCTTGGAATGGGTCTGACACATGTGGTCTAATATCTAGTTGTGGGTGTTAATCTTTTTCCATTTGAGAAAGAGTACCAGTTTTTCATTATAACCCTTGGAAAGCACAATGTTTTCTGCGCATGAGATCACATTTCTAAGGTTGCAAAATTACGGGAACTTTAATTAAATTCCCTGGTTTTCCAGAAATCCTGGTTGGAGTATTCCGGATATCCTGCTTATTCCCTCCTGTTTCTGTGATCCTCCAGCCGGTATTTTGGGAAAACCACTGAATTTATTTAAAGTTCCTGGATTTTTGCACATTTCACTGTCTGTGTTAGATGGAATTCTTACTTGTCTGGTAGTAGTCATACACTTTCACCACAGCTGGTTTCAGATTCCTCACAGGCACATCCTCCTCTATGGCCAGGCTGTACGTCTTAGTTTCCTTCTGCTTAAGCTGGAAGAAAAGGAATAATACATTTGACACTGCAGTTCAATGTTATAGATTCACACAGTGCTACTGTATAAAACATCCACTACAGTCTTACTTTGATGTTACTGTTCAAGTTAAATCCAGTGTGTGGATGCAAATGAGACCACATCCAAAAAGGTTTTCTGTAACTGATAAAAACAGCCCTGTTTAGATGCAACATTCATTATTCATGTTCCTACCCCATCTAGGTAGATGATGACATGTCCTTCCTCCAGGTCAACTCGTTTGACAGTGGGGTCATTTCTCAACTGGAAGAACAGAACACAGGTTAGCATATTGTCAGACAGTATAACTGATATGTTCAAAGGACAACCACTGGCATTGACAATAGAACAATACTTACATTTAGAACAGATGCCATTATAATGAATATGCATTAAGTAATCCTCAAGGGGATTATACTTAGGCCCAGGACTGTTGCCCAAACTGGTAAAACTCCTGGCCTTGATTAAACTGTATGTGTGTTCCCCTCAACAGAGGTTCTCTTATTGACTCACAGGCTTGAGGGAGGACTTGTCCAGGACGAAGCCGGAGAGAAGCTTGACATTGATGATCACCATGTTGGTCTCCTCTCGCCGACCGTTGTACCTGTCAGTCACACCGGGTCAGATGAAGGTAAGATATAATCTTAAATATAAACTGCTCAAAAAAATAAAGGGAACACTAAAATAACACATCCTATATCTGAATGAATGAAATTATCTTATTAAATCCTTCTTTTTTTTTACATAGTTGAATGTGCTGACAACAATCACACAAAAATTATCAATGGAAATCAAATTTATCAACCCATGGAGGTCTGGATTTGGAGTCACCCTCAAAATTAAAGTGGAAAACCACACTACAGGCTGATCCAACTTTGATGTAATGTCCTTAAAACAAGTCAAAATGAGGCTCAGTAATGTGTGTGGGCTCCACGTGCCTGTATGACCTCCCTACAACGCCTGGGCATGCTCCTGATGAGGTGGCGGATGGTCTCCTGAGGGATCTCCTCCCAGACCTGGACTAAAGCATCCGCCAACTCCTGGACAGTCTGTGGTGCAATGTGGCGTTGGTGGATGGAGCGAGACATGATGTCCCAGATGTGCTCAATTGGATTCAGGTCTGGGGAACGGGCGGTCCATAGCATCAATGCCTTCCTCTTGCAGGAACTGCCGACACACTCCAGCCACATGAGGTCTAGCATTGTCTTGCATTAGGAGGAACCCAGGGCCAACCGCACCAGCATATGGTCTCACAAGGGGTCTGAGGATCTCATCTCGGTACCTAATGGCAGTCAGGCTACCTCTGTCGAGCACATGGAGGGCTGTGCGGCCCCCCAAAGAAATGCCACCCCACACCATGACTGACCCACCGCCAAACCGGTCATGCTGGAGGATGTTGCAGGCAGCAGAACGTTCTCCATGGCGTCTCCAGACTCTGTCACGTCTGTCACATGTGCTCAGTGTGAACCTGCTTTCATCTGTGAAGAGCACAGGGCGCCAGTGGTGAATTTGCCAATCTTGGTGTTCTCTGGCAAATGCCAAACGTCCTCCACCTGTGGACGTTGGGCACTCATACCACCCTCATGGAGTCTGTTTCTGACCGTTTGAGGAGACACATGCACATTTGTGGCCTGCTGGAGGTCATTTTGCAGGGCTCTGGCAGTGCTCCTCCTGCTCCTCCTTGCACAAAGGTCGGAGGTAGTGGTCCTGCTGCTGGGTTGTTGCCCTCCTACGGCCTCCTCCACGTCTCCTGATGTACTGGCCTGTCTCCTGGTAGCGCCTCCATGCTCTGGACACTACGCTGACAGACACAGCAAACCTTCTTGCCACAGCTCGCATTGATGTGCCATCCTGGATGAGCTGCACTACCTGAGCCACTTGTGTGGGTTGTAGACTCCGTCTCATGCTACCACTAGAGTGAAAGCACCGCCAGCATTCAAAAGTGACCAAAACATCAGCCAGGAAGCATAGGAACTGAGAAGTGGTCTGTGGTCACCACCTGCAAAACCAGTCCTTTATTGGGGGTGTCTTGCTAATTGCCTATAATTTCCACCTGTTGTCTATTCCATTTGCACAACAGCATGTGACATTTATTGTCAATCAGTGTTGCTTCCTAAGTGGACAGTTTGATTTCACAGAAGTGTGATTGACTTGGAGTTACATTGTGTTGTTTAAGTGTTCCCTTAATTTTTTTGAGCAGTGTATATTCACATCTTCACACTGGTGGTTGTCACTTTTTTTGGTGTCCTACCAGAAGTCAGTCAGTTGCTATTTCAAGGGTAAAAGGAATTCCACTGTACCTGACATTCACAGACACTGTCAGAGATTTCTTGGTGCCGTCGCATTTCCCCAGCGTCTGTGTTGAGATGTTAAAAGCAGAGAAGTCAGGAGGAGGGGGAATATTGTAGTGCATGGCGATCTGAAAAGACAGAGACGATACCATTGAGATGCATGAAATCAACATACCCATGCAATTCCGTTGATGCTGACACTAGGGTTGAAACGTTTGTTTTTGTGCAACAGTGTTCCCTACTGAACACAACCAGATACTCAGTACTGCATGTACTGAGAGGCAGCAAAGGGCAAATGACTGGAGCCTGACCTGCACAAACACACAGCTCTTGCCCTGTGCCTTGATGTTGTAGTCCCCAGGGACCTCCTTCAGCTGCTCCTCCTGATAGAGCAGCCTGTTGTTCTGATTTACAGTGAACTCCATCTTCAGGCCTCTGGCCGAGCTCACACTGACTGTACTGGCACCCTCTGGACTGAAGGTGGCGGCGCCGTATTTGGCCAGGGCCTGCAGTGCTACCACTGTGTCCTGGTGACAGGCGAAGAAGAGAGGTACCGTTGCAAAAACAAATCCAGATCGACTACAGCTTGGGTATGGATGGAGAGAATCAATACATATGAAGAATATAAAATGAAGCACAACAATTCAAGGAAATCCATGTGTTGTGTTATGAAATGATTGTAAGGCTTTAATACAATGTCCAGTCTACATTTCATGTACAAATAAGTATTTGGTGTGATCAATGTTTAACCATGTACTAACAGTAGGAGAGATAGGTAGATTATGTGCTAGAGTGAATTATTGTCTACCAGACCAAGAAAACCAAATACTGTTTGAACCCAGGTGTGGTGAGTAAGTACCTGTGTGGAGGCAAAGCCTCCGTACGGGTTCTGCTGCTGGGCCAGCCAGCGGACGATGCCGGTGGAGTAGCCAAGCCCAAAGCCTGGCATCGAGGGGCCTGAGAGCAGCGCCAACAGCACGTAGGATGTCATCTCCACCTCCAGAGAGTCAGTCTTCGTCCCAGAAGCCTCTGCTCTCTCCCAGTGACGATTGCCACCTGTGGTCATTTTCATTGTCAGTGGCTGTTTCCCAGCAGTCAGACAGAAAGGTAGAGAGAGACAAAGAGACAACACATACCTGAGGTAGCAGCTATCTTGTCCAGGTGGGTGATGAGCTTGGCCCTCATGTCCTGGTTTTGGGCCAGGGTGAAGGTGTAGGACAGCAGGGCCGTGGTGTAGGTGTTCTCCAGCTGGTCAGACACTGCTGCCCTCAGACACGCCAGACTCTTCTCCACCATGGGGTCCTGACACACCCACATACAAGAGGGTTGTGTTTATTAGGCACTAAACAGAGGAACACTGATTAAAACTGATGGAATACCTGGACCGATAAGAAATGCTAATTTGCAGTTGCAAAATGTTTATGGGTTTTCCATTGCGTTCCCTAATGAATACAACCCAGACCTTTTATCAGGTTTTTAATATGGGTATGAGTACTGAATAATGTTAGCAATATAAATAAATGAACAAGTGTATACATATAAAAGTAGACTAATATATGGATGTTATTTAACAAATTCTAAGACATGGCGAGTGAGGCGTTCTGTGGGTGATATCGTCTTATTTTAGAATTGTGTGAAGTAGTTGGATGGCTAAGCAGAGATATCCACTAGGCCTGTTCATCTTTTGATAAAAGCACGAAATGTGGTCTTCTTGTTTATCAATATGATATAAGACTAGGCTATGGAAAGAGAGATGATAACTCACAGAAGTGTTGCCATCCAGCTCCAGCAGTGCAGCGGTGATGTAGGCAGTGAGCGACACCTGATCCCCGACCCCTCCCTACAACAACAAAGAATGATAGTAAACTTCATCCAACATCATACAGTACTCCCAGGTGCTAGAGTTTCAAAGTCACACTGATATCAACCGATATCAACCAAAAACCATTGCAGTGTTTATGGTGCACAAAGAGAAAGAACGGGGGGAAAACATTTTAAGTGTACTGTTCTGGAGATGCACAAAAGCTGTCGGGACTAGTCAGACAGAGGTCATTTTACGGTGGTGGTGTGTTCTCAGTATTGGCTAAAACATGCTTGGGATTCTTCTGCTCAGCGTGTGCTCCTTTGGGACACACGTGGAGTCCTAAAGTCAGTACATTATCCTCCGTGTCAGTGCAATATGAATTATGTAAAGTACACATATTTGATGTTAGACTATGTATTATTATCAAGTCTTTTGTTTGTTAGTTATCTAGGATTTTATGCCGACTCCAACATTGCACTGTAAATAGAATGGGACACTTTTGCACCAGAACCTCCTGCTGAATCTCTGCCCTCAACGTTACCTTTTCACATTTGGTGGCAGCAATAGGATACTCCTCCTCTTATTAGCAACGGAGCTCTGATTCCCCTTTACCTTCATGCCGTTATGGAAGAGTTTCCCCACTGACGCAATGCAGCCATCCTTCTGCTGGTGACTGGCCAACCAGGCCTTGGCCTGGCCAATGTGGGTGGGATCCACGAAGATGTAGGGCTTGGCCCCGCCAAAGGACTTCAGCACAAAGGAGGTGAGCCTGAGAGGACACAGAGCAGATGTCACTGGAGTTACTAGGACTAGATGTGGTGAGCCTTACCTAAACTATGGATTATAGAATCTAGATAACAGTAGCCATACTGTATGTGCTGAAGCCAACTATATTTGCCATAACAGTTGGCTTCAGCATATTGTCATGACTTGCCTTCTTGGGCTGAGGATCAAAGATGCCGGCTAGGCAAAGGTTTGAACACCCCCTCTCCTGGGGACCAGTTTTATGACCATTTGTAAATTCCTTGCAGAAACTATTATCCGTGCCATGCAGTATTGGGAGAGGAAATGTCCCTGTGGAACAAAGGAAGTGTTCCTGCCAAGACTCCAACATCCAAAAGTGGATAATGAAACAATATTCCTACTTCAAAGAATGTGGGAAATGGTCAGTGGGGACTTAAAGAACAATCATGTCAAATTCGTTACTATGTTGTAATGTCATTAAAGACGGTGGAACAACATAACTATCTCTGGGGGTGTACACTTCCCAGTTATGAGGTTTGCATCTAATTGTTGTATAAAACTAAATGATTAAGTATAATAATACTTTTGTGAAGATAAATGTGATTTTAGCATTCTAGCTGAGATGATTGTTTTCCATATTGATTTGTTCTCAGTCAGTGGCCACGCCCAGATGAGCACAAACATGATGAAACGCCCCCTTTTCTACTCAAGTATAAAACCCCTTGTGACGAAATTCACCTCAGACCAAGCAGACTACGGTGTAAACCGGATGTTGCAAATGGTTGAATTAACATTAACCATTTTAAACAGTGTAGCTTCAGCTTCACGCTTCCTGGTCTAGGCCAAGAAGACATGACACATGAGCTAAACGTTACAAAATGGTGAAACTCTGAACCTCTACACGAGGTGAAGACAATGCACTAGACCTTATCAATACCAGTCTGCAGCTGGCATGTATAGTCGTCCAGAGAACCTTTACTAAAATATACGAGTTGGGAAGGACAATCCCTCTCAGACAACCGTTGGTACATCTGAAGTATCTATTCGAACAGATCAACTCTACAAACTACAGGGTACGCTGAAGTATCCAGTCTAACGACCACTACGACCAGAAACTACCAAGGACAATGGGATCTCTGGTGGGCAAACCAGAGTCCTACATCATCAACTCAACTATCGAGGACAGCTACACGTAAATACATGTTGTGTTTCTAATCCGAATGAGCGGTGAGCTGTGATTAGGGTTCTAAGCATTTGCATTTCCGTGAGCTTAGTTTCCAAAGTAACAACGATAGTTTGAATCTCTGTCTCTCCCTTCCAAGTGTTCATGCTATTGTTAATTCAGTCCACTAGGGACCTGTTTTCATTGTATTACCGTATTTTCCGCACTATAAGGCGCACTTAAAAGCCTTTAATTTTCTCAAAAAACGACAGTGCGCCTTATAATCCGGAGCGCCTTATATATGGATCAATTGGTTAATTGGTTGATCCATACTGGTTGTACACGGCGCTCAAGGCACTCTGTCAAAATGTTTCAGTATGAAAAACCAATAAAAACAATTTTATAATAATGAAATGTTTCAGTACGACTGGTAAACTACAAAGCCGCACCGCTTGCAGCATTACGGCTACCGTAGTCAGTAAACACCGGTACTGTGCTTACTCACAGTCCCACACCACTTGTGTGTGTATATAAAGACCCCAAAATTGTTGTCAGAACGCTTAATAAAGTTTGACTTTATCTGACTGTTTTGTTGACATTCCCTTTAGCACAGCTCCATCTAGTGGATGCATAACGCAACCCCAGTCAAACGTTTGACTGCAGTATCTTCTAATCTATGCGCCTTATAATCCGGTGCGCCCTATATATGAAAACAGTTCTAAAATAGGCCATTCATTGAAGGTGCACCTTATAATCCGGTGCGCCTTATAGTGCGGAAAATACGGTACTTTAGTAATCAATAACCTATGTGTGTTTGTATTGTGTTATTATTTAGTTAGTAAATAATTAAGCCAATTTGTGTATTGCTGATTTATCAATAAGGTTAGGGTTCTTGCAGGTTCAAAGATTATGCGACGTTCAGAATGAGACTGATAAGAGGTAATTATTTAATAAGTGACTGTTATCGATATAACATATATCTTCTAAGAGTTTAATTCGGGAGATGGTAACTCGTTAAACAACTTATTCCGTGGTGCCCCAAATTCCTAATGAGTTAATTGTTAAATGATTAAAGTGAAAATTAAACAGTTAGTTGATTCGTTAAATAACAGTCACCCTGTTAATGAAAGTCACGTCACCATACTAATATGGATTCGAGACGATCACATTCCTACCTTGATTACATACTGCACCCTTAATCGAATGTCATTTTCAAGAGTGACTTAAAAAACTAAAAATCTCAATTGTGGAATAATCTAAGATAAGGTATTATGACTGTGTGGACTTCAATTAAACTGACCAGGTGTTTCCAGACTCATCGCTCTGCCCAAAGGCACTGTAGGAGCCATCGTCATGCTTGTAGTTGAGCTCTCTCTGGTAGCCTGCAACACAAATGGCCAAATGAACAAACACTCTCCTTCTAGGGACTTCTATTGTATGTGCAAGGTGCAGTTAACTGGTTCAGTGCCAAATATAGACAACAGGTTGTTGCTAGTCAGAGGTGAGATGCACACAGAAATTATCAGACAGAATAAACTGTCAGACAGTGTTCATCTTCGCAGACTCCTGTTCAATCACAGCTCATAAAAAAAAAAGTACAACGCTTACTGCAAATGATCTTGTCATATCCCAGTGCATGCTATGTGTTCCATTAAGCAGTAGTCTCCGCAATGCATAGCAGTCTTATTTCACCAGGGTTGTGTCCAGTGGAGAAATTTAAACAAATTGCATTGAGTAAAATGGAGAGTGTAGGCTGTAACTGAAAATAAATGCTTGTTATAGATTTCCGTTGCAACACGTTTTAAAACAGTTTGGCCATGTTGTGCCTTACTGAACCAGACCCAGCTCACTCACCACTCTCTAGGAAGCCTGTGGCCCTGGTCTGGATCTCCATGGTGAGCTGCCTGGTGCTCTGCAGGTAGTTGAGGATGTAGATGTTGGGAGCAAACAGCACCATGTTCTGCTCTCCACAGCCATAGGGCATCTGCAACAGGCTGTCAAGGTTCTTCATGGCCCGACCCATCAGGTCGCCTGGTGAAAAAGAGACCAACCATTGAGACAATCAATCATTGGCATCTAGTCAATGGCAGTGGTTATTTGACCAGCAGATCCCGGTTTCAGATCCCATAACCTTAAGGCAATCATAGATCTGCAGGTTGAATATACACTTCCCTTGTCATGAATAGAGGGATGAACAATCCTTGCCTACAACTTCATCTGCACCAAAATGGAAAACATATCCTGAGGTTATAAAACTCAGCAAAACAGATGGAGTATTCTCACCCAGTACTGAAAGGGAGGCCTTGGCAGAGCCCTCCACAAACACCTCAGGCAGCTTCAGAGAGATGTCCTTCTCCACTGGGCCCTCTGGTGACAGGAGACAGATAAACGAGGCAGACTGAGTTACTTGAGAACCGTTATAACCACTTAAAACATATATGTAATCTAAACCAAAACAACTTAATCATCGGGGTAATTATGAGAAAGTATGACTGATAGAGGTCAGGAGATTACCTGCAGGGCAGAGCAGAGCGTTGTGGCTGACCGTCTCCTGGGTTCCCTCGGCCTGATAGAGGGAAAGTGACATTGAGAAAAAAGACTGACCACTGGCTTTCAGGAAAAACATCACCAAAATAAAACACAATCTAATGAGGACAACTAAAGTTAAGTCTAGCATTGAATTCATATGGTAACCATTTAAAGGTGAAACGTTTTAGACCTGAAAAGTAGACTAATGTTAAGATAAATCCATGTCCCAGGCCATCTGTTGTGTCAGTCCAGCTATACGTCTCAATTCAAAATTAATGGAAAAGCTATGCACATTCCCAAATGTAATCTTTATTCAAAAAATATTTATTATGCTTGAGCTGGTGTCTAACTGCATTTGGGCTTAGAACACCAAACCATGTTGTCTCCTCTCATCAAAATACCAAACAATATCAGGGGATATAAATTCTACTGTATTTACCCTTGCCCTAGTGTTACTGAAAACCCTGATCTCATTGCATCAATGTGGAAGAAAGAACAGTGGACTTGGCATACAGGACAGACACTCACCTCCACCAGCAGTGTTTGCACAATGGTGTCAATGTGTCCTTTCTCTGGCACTGTGGCCACCTCGTTGCCGCAGAGCTCCTCAGTCTTCAACGCCTCAGCGCTCACTTTCACACTCACCTCCCCTATAGTTCAGGCCAGAGAGACATAAACATGCAAGTCTAGACCAGTCACCCATTAACCTGCCCCTCCCTCAGCTTGCTCCCTCTTACCCTCCCTTCCTATAGCCTCTCCTCTCAGTCACTCATGTACCCTGGCTCAACTGTTCCCTCCCTCCCTCCTCCCTTCCCATGTTTCCTCCCTCCCTTTCTCCGATAACCACGGATACCCCCGAGGGAGATCTTTCTGAGCATCTCATCAGATATCCCTCTTGACTTGTTAGTACAAGCGATTGTCAACATTTCTTTACAGGGCTAGGATATATACAAGGAATTTATTTGAGCCATGTGTATCAGAAATATTTATTTGCTTAAATTTCAGCTGTGTGAAGTCAACAACCCTGTCTTAAGGCACTACAGGAGAATCACTGCTTTCAATTTACTCCCTACTCTCCTTTGGCCCTAACTCTTTGCATATATGAAAGGTGTGGATGGGTATAAGCAGTGTAATGGTGGAGCTTCTACCATATTTCTTACACCTTACAAATCTGCAAACATCAAAGGGTAGGGGGCTAGGGCCAAGGTGTTGGGAGTAAATGTGGAGTCTATTGCAAGAGCCTTGTGATAGATTGACAGAGTACTGTATGGCTCACCCAGAGCAGTTGGGGTGAGGATCCACTTGAAGGTCCTGCTCTCCTCAGCACACAGACACAGGGTGTACTGGCAGCCTTCACATGGCCTGGCTGTGAACTGGTCCGACTCAGCTAGAGTCACCTTCACCTAGGAGAAACACATGGGGTCAATCTCAAGTCTTTCCTAGATCCATGCGTCCGCTCTTCTCTCGTCCTTAAAACATCAGAGCATCTACAGATTGTCTACAGGGACTATCCAAATGAAGTGGGACTAGAGAGGTAAAGAAAGAGACAATACTGGGAGGGCTTACCATGATACACTTGGAGAGGTAGTTGAACACTGTGGCCTTGAGTGTGAACACCTCCCCCCGGATGACAGAGTAGGGCAGTGTCAGGCTCACAAAGAAGGGTTGGAAGGCAGTGAGGCCAGTGTTGGGAGCCAGGCCAAAACCCACTGGGGAAGTACAGAACGCCCCTGCAGCCCACTTAGTGATGGTGTCTGGAACAGTCTTCTCAACATTCACTTTTCCTGTATCTCTGGTGGTGTTGAAAAGGGTGCAATAAAAACACCAAATATATATTAACATTGGAACACATGATTTATGGTCAGTTCAATAGAGGACTAGGTGATTTTTTAAATTATTGTTTTAAACCGTTCTTTCCCCCTTAAAAATCAACCGCTAGAACAAAAACATGCCTGTAGTTTCAGTATTGCCATATTAGTAGGCATTTTCAGCCCAGCACCCCACGAAAAGGGATGTGTTGGACTACAAATACGGTGTATGTTACAATGCTTACCCCACAGGAACCAGGTCCCAGATCCAGGTCTCAGGGAAGTATGTGCGGACAGTCTCCTTAGTCCCGTCAGCGGCTCCAGGGGCTGATGTCATATGCCCATTTGGCATCATGTTCATGGGACGAACTGTAAATAGAAACCAATCCTTCATTAGGTTGAGACTAGAAAGGTTTATACATTAGCATATCAAATACGTTTATTGGTCACGTACACAGAAGGGATGTAGCGCAGTTGGTTGAGCATGGCGTTTGCAACGCCAGGGTTGTGGGTTCGATTCCCACGGGGGGCCAGTAAAAAAAATATATATATATAAAAAATGATCATGTATGCACTCACTAACTGTAAGTCGCTCTGGATAAGAGCGTCTGCTAAATGACTAAAATGTAAATGTAAAATGTGCGGGTGTTATGGCAGGTGCAGCAAAATGTTTGTGTTACTAGCGCCAACAATAGACGCACAATAAAAAAAAAGAACTAACAATCCAAGTAGATATTAGAGTGAGAATATAAAATATGTGGTGTGTATAGACCGAATACAATTTGGAAAAGAAAATGGTATGTACAGTAGTAGCTATATTAGGATGAGCTACAGTGGGGAGAACAAGTATTTGATACACTGCCGATTTTGCAGGTTTTGTAATTTTTATCATAGGTACACTTCAACTGTGAGAGACGGAATCTAAAACAAAAATCCAGAAAATCACATTGTATGATTTTTAAGTAATCAATTTGCATTTTATTGCATGACATACGTATTTGATCACCTACCAACCAGTAAGAATTCCGGCTCTCACAGACCTGTTAGTTTTTCTTTAAGAAGCCCTCCTGTTCTCCACCTATTACCTGTATTAACTGCACCTGTTTGAACTCGTTACCTGTATAAAAGACACCTGTCCACACACTCAATCAAACAGACTCCAAGCTCTCCACAATGGCCAAGACCAGAGAGCTGTGTAAGGACATCAGGGATAAAATTGTAGACCTGCACAAGGCTGGGATGGGCTACAGGACAATAGGCAAGCAGCAATTGGTGAGAAGGCAACAACTGTTGGCGCAATTATTAGAAAATGGAAGAAGTTCAAGATGACGGTCAATCACCCTCGGTCTGGGGCTCCATGCAAGATCTCACCTCGTGGGGCATCAATGATCATGAGGAAGGTCAGCCCAGAACTACACGGCAGGACCTGGTCAATGACCTGAAGAGAGCTGGGACCACAGTCTCAAAGAAAACCATTAGTAACACACTACGCCGTCATGGATTAAAATCCTGCAGCGCACGCAAGGTTCCCCTGCTCAAGCCAGCGCATGTCCAGGCCCATCTGAAGTTTGCCAATGACCATCTGGATGATCCAGAGGAGGAATGGGAGAAGGTCATGTGGTCTGATGAGACAAATAGCGCTTTTTGGTCTAAACTCCACTCGCCGTGTTTGGAGGAAGAAGAAGGATGAGTACAACCCCAAGAACACCATCCCAACCGTGAAGCATGGAGGTGGAAACATCATTCTTTGGGGATGCTTTTCTGCAAAGGGGACAGGACGACTGCACCGTATTGAGGGGAGGATGGATGGGGCCATGTATCGCGAGATCTTGGCCAACAACCTCCTTCCCTCAGTAAGAGCATTGAAGATGGGTCGTGGCTGGGTCTTCCAGCATGACAACGACCCGAAACACACAGCCAGGGCAACTAAGGAGTGGCTCCGTAAGAAGCATCTCAAGGTCCTGGAGTGGCCTAGCCACTCTCCAGACCTGAACCCAATAGAAAATCTTTGGAGGGAGCTGAAAGTCCGTATTGCCCAGCGACAGCCCCGAAACCTGAAGGATCTGGAGAAGGTCTGTATGGAGGAGTGGGCCAAAATCCCTGCTGCAGTGTGTGCAAACCTGGTCAAGACCTACAGGAAACGTATGATCTCTGTAATTGCAAACAAAGGTTTCTGTACCAAATATTAAGTTATGCATTTTCTGATGTATCAAATACTTATGTCATGCAATAAAATGCAAATTAATTACTTAAAAATCATACAATGTGATTTTCTGGATTTTTGTTTTAGATTCCGTCTCTCACAGTTGAAGTGTACCTATGATAAAAATGACAGACCTCGACATGCTTTGTAAGTAGGAAAACCTGCAAAATCGGCACTGTATCAAATACTTGTTCTCCCCACTGTATGTCGAGAATACAGTATTATCATACACAGTGAGTAAACAGTATATAAACAGAATGAGGTGACCAGCGTTCAATGACTCTATACATGGGGCTCCATATAATACCTACCCGCTTCGATCATACCATTTTGTTTCATTGCAAAGAGTGCGTTACAGTCGTAAGGTTCTCTCACGTCAGAGTTGGTCAGGATCTTGATTCCAACTTCCTAAAATGAAAGTACAGAAAAATCAAACAGTGTCAGGGAGTAAAGGCCATATCATACCTGTAATTTCAGTTTTGCTCAATAATGGGACGGCCAAAATTTTTAGTAAGAGCGAAGATGGGTGTGGTGGGCCAGATAAAAACCCCAAAAACCCGGGGAAAAAAAGGGGTTGCCCAAAAAAAAAAATTTTGGCAGACCCCCAGCCCAAAAATAGAAAATTTTGGGAGGGGTAAGCCCCTTTCCCCAACCCCCCAAAACCCGGGGGGGTTTTAAAAATTTTTTGGGGGGGCCAAAAACCCCCGGGGGGAAAATGTGCCCTAAAAAGTAGTTTTTTTTTAAACAATTTTTTCCCCAAAATTAAATATTTTTGGGAACCCTTTACCCCTAAAAAAATTAATTCTTAAATTCAGGCCTTTTTTTTGAAATCCCCCTTAAGTTGACGGGGTTTAAAAATACAATCAAGGGTTTTTAATAAAAAAAAAAATGGCATTAAAATTTTGCCCCCCTTTTGAAACGCCAAAAAAAGGAAAATATAAAAAAAGAAGGGTACCATCAATCCTAACGGGGCTCATAAACCCCCCGCTTCCCCCCAAATTTTTTTTTGCTTTGCTTTTTAAAAAGGGTTTTTCCCCAAAATTTGGCGGGCACAATTTAAAAAAGTCAAAAAAAAAATTTTGGGGGAAAATTAAAGGCCTTAACCTTTTTTTTGAAAAAATGGGGAAAAAAAGATTTGTAGCCCCCAATTGGAAAAGCCCCAAAAAAAGATAAAAGGTAAATTTTTTATCTAGGTACACTCAACTTGAAGACAAAATAAAAAAATCCAGAAAAAACATTGTAGGATTTTTTTAATTTTTTCAAAAGGGGGAAAAAAGAGGGGGTCAATAACAAAAATTTCCAAAATTTTTTTTTTTTGGGGCTTGAAAAGGGAAACTTTTTTTTTTCATGCAGTTAACACCTTGCATAGACTCATTCCAGGCTCTGAATTGCCAATGCCATTGGATATCCAGAGAGGAATGGGAGACGGTCAGGGTCTGATGAGACAAAAGCGCTTTTGGTCTAAACTCCCTCGCCGTGTTTGAGGAAGGAAGAAGATATACAACGCCAGACACCATCCCAACCGTGAAGCATGTTGGTGGAAACTCATTCTTTGGGATGCTTTTCTGCAAGGGGACAGGACGACTGCCGTATTGATGGGAGGAGGATGGGGCCATTATCGCGAATCTTGGCCAACAACCTCCTTCCCTCAGTAAGAGCATTGAAGATGGGTCGTGGCTGGTCTTTCCAGCATGACAACGACCCGAACACCAGCCAGTGGCAACCTAAGGAGTGGGCTCCGAAGAAGCATCTCAAGGTCCTGAGTGGCCTAGCCACCTCCAACATGAACTCCATAGAAAATCTTTGGAGGGAGCTAAAGTCCTATTGCCCAGAACACCCCGAAACTGAGGATCTGAGAGAAGGTCTTATGGGGAGTGGGCATAAATCCTGTCTGCAGTGTGTGCAAACCTGGTCAGACCTCAGGAAGACGTTATGATCTTGGTAAGTTTGCAAACAAGGTTTCGTACCACATGTAAGTTATGATTTTCTGATGTATCAAATACTTATGTCATGCAATAAAATGCAAATTAATTACTTAAAAATCATACAATGTGATTTTCTGGATTTTTGTTTTAGATTCCGTCTCTCACAGTTGAAGTGTACCTATGATAAAAATGACAGACCTCGACATGCTTTGTAAGTAGGAAAACCTGCAAAAATCGGCACTGTATCAAATACTTGTTCTCCCCACTGTATGTCGAGAATACAGTATTATCATACACAGTGAGTAAACAGTATATAAACAGAATGAGGTGACCAGCGTTCAATGACTCTATACATGGGGCTCCATATAATACCTACCCGCTTCGATCATACCATTTTGTTTCATTGCAAAGAGTGCGTTACAGTCGTAAGGTTCTCTCACGTCAGAGTTGGTCAGGATCTTGATTCCAACTTCCTAAAATGAAAGTACAGAAAATCAAACAGTGTCAGGGAGTAAAGGCCATATCATACCTGTAATTTCAGTTTTGATGTGGGTATTAGTTGAATAAATTAAAACCCAAACATTTTTGTAGATACTGTATATATATATATATAAAAGTCTTTTTACTTACTTCTGAAAAATCACTTCATAGACTGCATTCGATTTTAATTCATTTTAGACAGTCTCTTACATACTATTTATACATTTTCTATAGTCCAAACAGACAAGAATAACTGCAAACGTATTTGTGCCTCTTACTTTAAAGATGCTGTAGGCGTCGCTTTTGTCGTTGTTGGGGCCAAACCAGAATGAGCGTTTTTCCCAATCAGGTACGGGTGGTGCTACAAACTCCTCGGCCGGTTCAGGTACGAGTGAAAGGAGCATCATCTCCTCTTCAATGATTGGAGGATATTGAAGGCATGGGTAGGGGTCAAAGTCTTCTACTCTGTATGAATATCCAGACAACTTCTGAACAGGCAGCTGACTGAAGACCTGCAGAGAGAGAAGTAATATACCTCTAGTAATACTGACTTTATAATCCACAGCATCTTGACACGGTCAGAAAGTGGTCAGAGGTTACAGGGTCAGTACAAGGTGAGTGCATATGATAACACCAGTGTTAAATACATATAGCAAATACTTGATCTGCTCTCGATTTAGCTTGAGAGAACCAATGGAATAGTCCCAAAAGTAAAAAAAAACTTTTAAGTATCAGACAGTGGTTAATAAATGTTTAGAGGAAGCTGAAAGTGAGCCGAATCCCATCTTGAAATACATGGGTGCACAAAAACAATGCCAAAGGAGGATGTGTGTGATCATGGTTAGGCTTCAGCTTAGTGTGGTGAGTAAGTGAATGTGAGAGGCTGTGTCCTGTCCCAAATGGCACCCTATTCCGTATATAGTGCATTACTTTTGACCAGAACCCTTTGAGGCCCTGGTCAATAGGGTGCCATTTGGGACGCAGCCATGGAGAACGTACAGAGTCTAGGCTGAGCTCCTGTTCAGGCTGTAGCAGCAGCACACTCTGGTCAATGGCCCTGAGAGAACACAGAGACCCTGGGTGGGCCTGGAGGCTCAGAGAGGTCTTCTCCCCTGGCAACTCCTGGAGGGCCGAGAACGTCAGGGACACCTGGAGAGGAGAAAAGAGGGAGACACCACAGCTATGTTTAAATATATCTATACTAGCATACCACTTAGAATACATGTCCAACACATTGCTTCATTTCAGAAAGTTTAAATATATCTATTTTTTTTTTAAACCGTATTTTCTGCACTATAAGGCGAACCGGAGTATAAGCCGCAGCAGCTAAATTGAATGATGTGTACATATAAGCCGCACTGGACTATAAGCCGCAGGTGTTTTATTGTTTAATTACCATATGTAAGGGTTCGTGCACAGAGGGGATTGTCGGGAAAGAGACAAACTGTCTCGCTCTCGTAATGTCTGTCTGTCTTGCTCTCGTTCTGTCTCTCGTACCACTCTCGGTTCCACTTTTACTTTTGCGCGCTACCTGTCTCACTCTTTTCCGGCCTCCAGCTTTTCCTGCTGGAGCCCGCCGCTTAAAGGTGGGGGGCGCGGACCGGTCATAGAGCCCATAGAGTTAAAGTTGGTGGACTGTAACCTGTAAAATCCATAGATTTAGGAGGTCTTCTAGTGGCCGTTAGCTGTAAAAATCCATAGATTAGCCGCACCGTTATATAAGCCGCAGGGTCGAAAAATGGGAAAAAAGGCGCGGCTTATAGTCCGAAAATTACGTTAACTAGGCAAGTCAGTTAAGAACAAATTCTTATTTACAATGACGGCCTACACCAGCCAAACGCTGGGCCAATTGTGCGCCGCCCTATGGGACTCCCAATCACGGCCGGTTGTGATACAGCCTGGAATCGAACCAGGGGGTCTGTAGTGACGCCTCAAGCACTGAGATGCAGTGTCTTAGACCACTGCGCCACTCGGGAGCCCATACTGTCACAGACGTTGAAGGACGGGTCAGACCAAGGCGCCGCGTGAAATGCATACATGTTTATTTTATAAAATAAACACACGAACAAAAACAACGTAACGTGAAGTCCTCAGCCTAAACACCATACAAGCCTATACACGGAACAAGATCCCACAACAACTGATTGCCAACAGGCTACTTAAGTATGATCCCCAATCAGAGACAACGAGCGACAGCTGCCTCTGATTGGGAATCACACCCGGCCAAACATAGAAACACACAACCTAGAATGAGAACATAGAAATAACAGAACTCCACACCCTGACTCAACATACTAGAGTCCCATAGGTCAGGGCGTGACACATACTCGGGAGCTATACTAGCATACCACTTAGAATACATGTCCAACACATTGGTTCATTTCAAGTACAGTAGCATACTGGTGTGAATATTGGAACAGAGCCCACAACATAATAATGCTTGTACTGTGTAGAGCAGGGGTCTAACAGGTCGATCGCGAGCTACCAGTAGCTCGCCAAACAATTCTGAAAGTACATGCAATTTTCATGTGTTCCACCGCAAACTGTCAAACAAATCTCACAAGTATCAGACACCGCAAGCTCTCAGCTACTATCTAAATCAACGCAACATTGACATCCCAGCCCTGGTTAGCCACTATTGGCTTAAAAAGCCAAACCTAACACAATGTCTGCCAATTAACTTCCATTCATATTATCCCATCTGTCTGTGGTGCGCGCGTTTGTCTATCACTCTGTGTGTAGCCAGTTGATGTGATAACGGTCTTGTGGGTTGGCAGAAATATTTCCCCCCAAAACTTTCTCAATTAAATGTTAACTGCAAAGTAGGCTTACCTGGCAGAAGTATATCATTGTGGGGCTTGCGCAGCAAAAGCTTAGATATTCGATATTCTCTGCTACTCAAATCTGGCATTTGAACACAAAATAATATTCTGGTAAAAAGTTAGCTGTTTAAGTAACCGCATCAACAACATTTTCTGTAACTTATTTGCAAACTGCTGCCGTTTTGACCACTACCCCAACAAGTTAGACAAAAGGTTAGAGCATATGGAATCTTTGACTACTTCTCTGTGATTCATATATGTTCGCAGAACCATAATATTCACTACGGAGCTTACGGTACAGCTGTTTTAGTAACTGCATTACAACATTTTCCTCCAACTTTTTCCAATCTACTGCCATTTTGACCACAAACCCAACAAGTTAGACAAAAATATTCCTGGAAATCCTTAAACGGATTAGAACTAGTGTCTACCAATCCCTAGATAGAGCTGTTTTAGTAACCCATCAACTGCTCTCTTTCTAGCTGCATTAAATCATGTCAGAAGCTAGCAGATTCATGATTTACCAACATCTGCAAATTGCAATAAAACTACATAACGTTTTGAGTTTACTTTCCTTGCTTTGTCTAACACTATCAGGAATCTAGCAAAGACGTTGTGTGGGTCAGAGTGCAGTATTTAGTTCATATTAATGCACAAACTTACTGTATGCTAGCATGTTTCTCTTGCTTTAGCCAAAAAGGCAGCAGTGTTGCCATGCAACGCTAGTTTGCCTGTCTCTAAAGAGAAGGGTGGGCTGTACCCCTCTGACTGGAAAGAGCAGATTAGGAATAGCTTCTACCAATAAAAAGTTACAGCTGTTTGTCAGTGACGAAAAGTGGCATGCTGAGGTCTACTAACAGCTCTATGTGTCATCATGGAGGAGCCCAAACTGAGCCGTTGCTATGGGTACTCACAGACAAAGGGCAAAAAGAAATGAAGGTGAAGAGAGGGACCACAATTACTGACCACAACCACACAAATACTGACCACAACCACACAACTTCTGACCGCAACAACAAAACTGCTTACCATATCTAGTGACCACAACCACACAACTGCTGACCACACAACTAAACTGCTGACAACTCAACTTCTGACCTCAACCACACTACTACTGACCACAACAACTGACCAGATCTAGTGACCACAACTGCTTACCACATCTAGTGACCACAAACACAACTACTGACAACAACCACACATCTGACAACAACCTCTGACCACAACCACACAACTGCTTACCACATCTAGTGACCACAACACAAATTCTGACCTCTCATCTTCTGACCACATCCACACTACTGCTGACCACATCTAGTGACCAAAAACATAACTGCTGACCACAACCATACAACTTCTGACCACATCCAGTGACCACAACCACTGACAACAACCATACAACCTCTGACCACAACTGCTTACCACAACACTGGCCTCTCATCTGACCACAACCACACAACTACTGACCACATCTAGATAGAAAACAGATTTGTGATGATCCAGGTGCAGGTGAAGGATTTCATATCATAGTCTGATGCGAAGTCATTTTGGAAATCGACCGTAGTGCATGTTGCCCCGATAGATCACATTTTGACATTTCATGTAGCTGGCGAAAGACGCCTAGTTGCCTACCTGGTTTTTCAGGCAGAGGTGAATGGGGAAGTCTCGGCTGTCTGCTACTGCCTCCCCATCAGGCAACACGGTGTACACCACCACCTGGGCAAAAGGGGTCAGCTCAGGCATCCGCTGCAGCGAGAGCGTCAGCTCCCCTTGATTAACTGAAATGAGAGACAGACAAAGGGATGGACATTAGCTCACCGTAAGTCACCGAGCATCCAATACAGACAGTGTTCTGTGACTAGTCTATGAAATTGAAATATACTGTGCGCTGTGAAGTAAGAGCTTGTATTGAAGATGTAATCTGGATGATTTAATCCAGTCGTGACAGATTTATCCCATGCCAGTTTAATGCCATTAGGCCTTTCGAGGAGATATGTTCTCTAATCAAGTGGGGTTCTAAGAAGTCCTAAATATAAATGTCAGGAAGCAGTCGGGAGAATCCAAGACCAATTTATTTACCTTTTCCTTCTTTAACGGTCACAGGAAGACGGCCATGCTGCTGAATGCTGCCTCTAGATATAACCTGGGACATAAGAGACAGCCAGGTTGCAGCATCAACATTAATAACCAGTGAACGAACCAGGGAGATTGGAACATTGGCCAAAACCTGGAGATCTGCTGGCAAATATCTTGAAGTTAATGCATTACTAAAGTGATATCTTACTGTGTATAACCCATGATGAAATATTCAACTGGAAGTCAAGTACTGTATGGTTTTCCAAAGCCATTCTTAAAATATTTCCAGACAAAACACAAAATGACAATCAAATACCGAAGTATGTAAAATAAATAAATAAATAAATATCCCCAAACTTTCTGGTGGACTCGACAAAAAAATAATGTTAGGTTGTATTTTGAGTGGAACATCCCTTTAACCTTACCAGATAGAAAAAGTCCAGGGTCGTCTGTCCCTTTATCAGCTCCTCCCCTTGGATGATGTAGATGATTCCAGAGGAGGAATGGGAGAAGGTCATGTGGTCTGATGAGACAAATAGCGCTTTTTGGTCTAAACTCCACTCGCCGTGTTTGGAGGAAGAAGAAGGATGAGTACAACCCCAAGAACACCATCCCAACCGTGAAGCATGGAGGTGGAAACATCATTCTTTGGGGATGCTTTTCTGCAAAGGGGACAGGACGACTGCACCGTATTGAGGGGAGGATGGATGGGGCCATGTATCGCGAGATCTTGGCCAACAACCTCCTTCCCTCAGTAAGAGCATTGAAGATGGGTCGTGGCTGGGTCTTCCAGCATGACAACGACCCGAAACACACAGCCAGGGCAACTAAGGAGTGGCTCCGTAAGAAGCATCTCAAGGTCCTGGAGTGGCCTAGCCACTCTCCAGACCTGAACCCAATAGAAAATCTTTGGAGGGAGCTGAAAGTCCGTATTGCCCAGAGACAGCCCCGAAACCTGAAGGATCTGGAGAAGGTCTGTATGGAGGAGTGGGCCAAAATCCCTGCTGCAGTGTGTGCAAACCTGGTCAAGACCTACAGGAAACGTATGATCTCTGTAATTGCAAACAAAGGTTTCTGTACCAAATATTAAGTTATGCATTTTCTGATGTATCAAATACTTATGTCATGCAATAAAATGCAAATTAATTACTTAAAAATCATACAATGTGATTTTCTGGATTTTTGTTTTAGATTCCGTCTCTCACAGTTGAAGTGTACCTATGATAAAAATGACAGACCTCGACATGCTTTGTAAGTAGGAAAACCTGCAAAATCGGCACTGTATCAAATACTTGTTCTCCCCACTGTATGTCGAGAATACAGTATTATCATACACAGTGAGTAAACAGTATATAAACAGAATGAGGTGACCAGCGTTCAATGACTCTATACATGGGGCTCCATATAATACCTACCCGCTTCGATCATACCATTTTGTTTCATTGCAAAGAGTGCGTTACAGTCGTAAGGTTCTCTCACGTCAGAGTTGGTCAGGATCTTGATTCCAACTTCCTAAAATGAAAGTACAGAAAATCAAACAGTGTCAGGGAGTAAAGGCCATATCATACCTGTAATTTCAGTTTTGCTCAATTATGTGGGTATTAGTTGAATAAATTAAAACCCAAACATTTTTTTAGATACTGTATATATATATATATATATATATAAAAAAGTCTTTTTACTTACTTCTGAAAAATCACTTCATAGACTGCATTCGATTTTAATTCATTTTAGACAGTCTCTTACATACTATTTATACATTTTCTATAGTCCAAACAGACAAGAATAACTGCAAACGTATTTGTGCCTCTTACTTTAAAGATGCTGTAGGCGTCGCTTTTGTCGTTGTTGGGGCCAAACCAGAATGAGCGTTTTTCCCAATCAGGTACGGGTGGTGCTACAAACTCCTCGGCCGGTTCAGGTACGAGTGAAAGGAGCATCATCTCCTCTTCAATGATTGGAGGATATTGAAGGCATGGGTAGGGGTCAAAGTCTTCTACTCTGTATGAATATCCAGACAACTTCTGAACAGGCAGCTGACTGAAGACCTGCAGAGAGAGAAGTAATATACCTCTAGTAATACTGACTTTATAATCCACAGCATCTTGACACGGTCAGAAAGTGGTCAGAGGTTACAGGGTCAGTACAAGGTGAGTGCATATGATAACACCAGTGTTAAATACATATAGCAAATACTTGATCTGCTCTCGATTTAGCTTGAGAGAACCAATGGAATAGTCCCAAAAGTAAAAAAAAACTTTTAAGTATCAGACAGTGGTTAATAAATGTTTAGAGGAAGCTGAAAGTGAGCCGAATCCCATCTTGAAATACATGGGTGCACAAAAACAATGCCAAAGGAGGATGTGTGTGATCATGGTTAGGCTTCAGCTTAGTGTGGTGAGTAAGTGAATGTGAGAGGCTGTGTCCTGTCCCAAATGGCACCCTATTCCGTATATAGTGCATTACTTTTGACCAGAACCCTTTGAGGCCCTGGTCAATAGGGTGCCATTTGGGACGCAGCCATGGAGAACGTACAGAGTCTAGGCTGAGCTCCTGTTCAGGCTGTAGCAGCAGCACACTCTGGTCAATGGCCCTGAGAGAACACAGAGACCCTGGGTGGGCCTGGAGGCTCAGAGAGGTCTTCTCCCCTGGCAACTCCTGGAGGGCCGAGAACGTCAGGGACACCTGGAGAGGAGAAAAGAGGGAGACACCACAGCTATGTTTAAATATATCTATACTAGCATACCACTTAGAATACATGTCCAACACATTGCTTCATTTCAGAAAGTTTAAATATATCTATTTTTTTTTAAACCGTATTTTCTGCACTATAAGGCGAACCGGAGTATAAGCCGCAGCAGCTAAATTGAATGATGTGTACATATAAGCCGCACTGGACTATAAGCCGCAGGTGTTTTATTGTTTAATTACCATATGTAAGGGTTCGTGCACAGAGGGGATTGTCGGGAAAGAGACAAACTGTCTCGCTCTCGTAATGTCTGTCTGTCTTGCTCTCGTTCTGTCTCTCGTACCACTCTCGGTTCCACTTTTACTTTTGCGCGCTACCTGTCTCACTCTTTTCCGGCCTCCAGCTTTTCCTGCTGGAGCCCGCCGCTTAAAGGTGGGGGGCGCGGACCGGTCATAGAGCCCATAGAGTTAAAGTTGGTGGACTGTAACCTGTAAAATCCATAGATTTAGGAGGTCTTCTAGTGGCCGTTAGCTGTAAAAATCCATAGATTAGCCGCACCGTTATATAAGCCGCAGGGTCGAAAAATGGGAAAAAAGGCGCGGCTTATAGTCCGAAAATTACGTTAACTAGGCAAGTCAGTTAAGAACAAATTCTTATTTACAATGACGGCCTACACCAGCCAAACCCGGACGACGCTGGGCCAATTGTGCGCCGCCCTATGGGACTCCCAATCACGGCCGATTGTGATACAGCCTGGAATCGAACCAGGGGGTCTGTAGTGACGCCTCAAGCACTGAGATGCAGTGTCTTAGACCACTGCGCCACTCGGGAGCCCATACTGTCACAGACGTTGAAGGACGGGTCAGACCAAGGCGCCGCGTGAAATGCATACATGTTTATTTTATAAAATAAACACACGAACAAAAACAACGTAACGTGAAGTCCTCAGCCTAAACACCATACAAGCCTATACACGGAACAAGATCCCACAACAACTGATTGCCAACAGGCTACTTAAGTATGATCCCCAATCAGAGACAACGAGCGACAGCTGCCTCTGATTGGGAATCACACCCGGCCAAACATAGAAACACACAACCTAGAATGAGAACATAGAAATAACAGAACTCCACACCCTGACTCAACATACTAGAGTCCCATAGGTCAGGGCGTGACACATACTCGGGAGCTATACTAGCATACCACTTAGAATACATGTCCAACACATTGCTTCATTTCAAGTACAGTAGCATACTGGTGTGAATATTGGAACAGAGCCCACAACATAATAATGCTTGTACTGTGTAGAGCAGGGGTCTAACAGGTCGATCGCGAGCTACCAGTAGCTCGCCAAACAATTCTGAAAGTACATGCAATTTTCATGTGTTCCACCGCAAACTGTCAAACAAATCTCACAAGTATCAGACACCGCAAGCTCTCAGCTACTATCTAAATCAACGCAACATTGACATCCCAGCCCTGGTTAGCCACTATTGGCTTAAAAAGCCAAACCTAACACAATGTCTGCCAATTAACTTCCATTCATATTATCCCATCTGTCTGTGGTGCGCGCGTTTGTCTATCACTCTGTGTGTAGCCAGTTGATGTGATAACGGTCTTGTGGGTTGGCAGAAATATTTCCCCCCAAAACTTTCTCAATTAAATGTTAACTGCAAAGTAGGCTTACCTGGCAGAAGTATATCATTGTGGGGCTTGCGCAGCAAAAGCTTAGATATTCGATATTCTCTGCTACTCAAATCTGGCATTTGAACACAAAATAATATTCTGGTAAAAAGTTAGCTGTTTAAGTAACCGCATCAACAACATTTTCTGTAACTTATTTGCAAACTGCTGCCGTTTTGACCACTACCCCAACAAGTTAGACAAAAGGTTAGAGCATATGGAATCTTTGACTACTTCTCTGTGATTCATATATGTTCGCAGAACCATAATATTCACTACGGAGCTTACGGTACAGCTGTTTTAGTAACTGCATTACAACATTTTCCTCCAACTTTTTCCAATCTACTGCCATTTTGACCACAAACCCAACAAGTTAGACAAAAATATTCCTGGAAATCCTTAAACGGATTAGAACTAGTGTCTACCAATCCCTAGATAGAGCTGTTTTAGTAACCCATCAACTGCTCTCTTTCTAGCTGCATTAAATCATGTCAGAAGCTAGCAGATTCATGATTTACCAACATCTGCAAATTGCAATAAAACTACATAACGTTTTGAGTTTACTTTCCTTGCTTTGTCTAACACTATCAGGAATCTAGCAAAGACGTTGTGTGGGTCAGAGTGCAGTATTTAGTTCATATTAATGCACAAACTTACTGTATGCTAGCATGTTTCTCTTGCTTTAGCCAAAAAGGCAGCAGTGTTGCCATGCAACGCTAGTTTGCCTGTCTCTAAAGAGAAGGGTGGGCTGTACCCCTCTGACTGGAAAGAGCAGATTAGGAATAGCTTCTACCAATAAAAAGTTACAGCTGTTTGTCAGTGACGAAAAGTGGCATGCTGAGGTCTACTAACAGCTCTATGTGTCATCATGGAGGAGCCCAAACTGAGCCGTTGCTATGGGTACTCACAGACAAAGGGCAAAAAGAAATGAAGGTGAAGAGAGGGACCACAATTACTGACCACAACCACACAAATACTGACCACAACCACACAACTTCTGACCGCAACAACAAAACTGCTTACCATATCTAGTGACCACAACCACACAACTGCTGACCACACAACTAAACTGCTGACAACTCAACTTCTGACCTCAACCACACTACTACTGACCACAACAACTGACCAGATCTAGTGACCACAACTGCTTACCACATCTAGTGACCACAAACACAACTACTGACAACAACCACACATCTGACAACAACCTCTGACCACAACCACACAACTGCTTACCACATCTAGTGACCACAACACAAATTCTGACCTCTCATCTTCTGACCACATCCACACTACTGCTGACCACATCTAGTGACCAAAAACATAACTGCTGACCACAACCATACAACTTCTGACCACATCCAGTGACCACAACCACTGACAACAACCATACAACCTCTGACCACAACTGCTTACCACAACACTGGCCTCTCATCTGACCACAACCACACAACTACTGACCACATCTAGATAGAAAACAGATTTGTGATGATCCAGGTGCAGGTGAAGGATTTCATATCATAGTCTGATGCGAAGTCATTTTGGAAATCGACCGTAGTGCATGTTGCCCCGATAGATCACATTTTGACATTTCATGTAGCTGGCGAAAGACGCCTAGTTGCCTACCTGGTTTTTCAGGCAGAGGTGAATGGGGAAGTCTCGGCTGTCTGCTACTGCCTCCCCATCAGGCAACACGGTGTACACCACCACCTGGGCAAAAGGGGTCAGCTCAGGCATCCGCTGCAGCGAGAGCGTCAGCTCCCCTTGATTAACTGAAATGAGAGACAGACAAAGGGATGGACATTAGCTCACCGTAAGTCCACCGAGCATCCAATACAGACAGTGTTCTGTGACTAGTCTATGAAATTGAAATATACTGTGCGCTGTGAAGTAAGAGCTTGTATTGAAGATGTAATCTGGATGATTTAATCCAGTCGTGACAGATTTATCCCATGCCAGTTTAATGCCATTAGGCCTTTCGAGGAGATATGTTCTCTAATCAAGTGGGGTTCTAAGAAGTCCTAAATATAAATGTCAGGAAGCAGTCGGGAGAATCCAAGACCAATTTATTTACCTTTTCCTTCTTTAACGGTCACAGGAAGACGGCCATGCTGCTGAATGCTGCCTCTAGATATAACCTGGGACATAAGAGACAGCCAGGTTGCAGCATCAACATTAATAACCAGTGAACGAACCAGGGAGATTGGAACATTGGCCAAAACCTGGAGATCTGCTGGCAAATATCTTGAAGTTAATGCATTACTAAAGTGATATCTTACTGTGTATAACCCATGATGAAATATTCAACTGGAAGTCAAGTACTGTATGGTTTTCCAAAGCCATTCTTAAAATATTTCCAGACAAAACACAAAATGACAATCAAATACCGAAGTATGTAAAATAAATAAATAAATAAATATCCCCAAACTTTCTGGTGGACTCGACAAAAAAATAATGTTAGGTTGTATTTTGAGTGGAACATCCCTTTAACCTTACCAGATAGAAAAAGTCCAGGGTCGTCTGTCCCTTTATCAGCTCCTCCCCTTGGATGATGTAGCGAGCAAGAACAATCCCGTCCTTCTCACAGGAGAACTTCCCTTCGCCCTGCATTATCTTCACAAAGCTCTTGCTCTTGGAATAGAATTTCCATGCGAAATGGTAAGCGGATGAATATTCTGGTCTACGCACACCCTGCTCGTACAGATAATCCTCCTCAACCTTTTGATAACGAGCCTGGTTCAAGAAATACAAAAAAATATATGAAAAATAAGAAATTGTAGTGACCTTGGAGAATACAAAATGATAAATTAATGATCTCTGTCAGAACAAACAATTGAATATTTACAGTAAATAATTTATAATTAAATATTTAATAGAGTAAAACATGAGTGAGTGAGTGAGTACTGACCGACAGAGACATATAATCAGAACTCCACGAAGAGGTGTCTAGAGAGAAAGAAGCAATGCCATTGCTGTCTGTGGTGAGAGTCCAGTTCTCAGATGTGCCACTGTTGTGTAGGAAGAGATACACAGGCTCATTGGGAACGGGAGTAGAGTCTGGACCGGTCACTTTGATCTGAAAACACAGGACAGGATGACTGCAGACATCCAATAAACTATACTAATAATGTACACTCCCATCGCATAAAAGACATCAAAAGCATGGTTTAGATGCTCCAAATGATATGTTAACATTTATCACAACTTCTTTCACAAAGATTTTTCTGAGCAATGAGTTTCCCTGCAGTGTTATTAAAAAGGCATTTGTTAATATATTTTGTCCTCACCTTCCCCTCGTATGCAATTCCTGGTTTATATGCTTGGGGCACGTCCTCAAAACGAACAGTTATGATGACATTGGTGAAGCTTGCCTTGCCACTACCTTTAAGGATGACTCCTGGAGAGAACACAGGCAAGGGTCAGAGGTCAACAGTTGAGCATGTAAACACCTCTACGTTTAAGATAAAGTTCTCTCCTACCCGTTCCGTATTCCTCCATCTCAGTCTCCACTTCGAAGTCCCCAAAAGAGTCATGTAGACCGAACTGGGTCAAGTCGATCATTTGGGTTGCACAACCAGTTTTGTCGGTCTAGGGTGAATGAGTACAGTTGTAGGTCAGCTTAGCTCGGCTACAAAAACAGGCTTCCATAAACCTCAACATTTTGTCCACAGTGAGTGTTCTTCGTCAAAGAATTTGGCGTAACAATAGAAAATACTTACTTTCATAAGATACAACTCGCAGATATTACTAGAATCATATAACCAACGATATTGAATGGCATTTCTGCAAACTTTCGCCGTAACAGACCCCACCACTGGTTTTCCATAAGTGTATCTGGAAACAGTCACCAGAAGAATGACAATTCAAGAAAAGCAATTAAGCGTTGCAAAAATTGAAATACTTTGAACATGAGCAAGTATCAAACATGGGACAGTATCTATAAAGTATGGTCTATGCAACACACAAATTAAGTCTTAATATTCTGTCAATAAAATTCCCCAGTTTACATTATCATCTTACTGTCTATTATGCTTTATCATCTTATTCACTTACTTTCCACAAACTCTCAGTGTTGCTTCTTTGTCCAGAATAGTTATTGTTTGGGGAAGATGGACTTTCACCTCATATTTGGGCAAAACTGGAAAAATACATATCAATATTATTTCTTCATTGTCTGTTGGACTACACCCAAAAACAAATCACAGACCACAATGTAATCACCATGTAAAAACAACGTAACCACCATGTAATCACCATGTAATAACAATGTAACCACAATGTAACCTGAAAGTAATCAGAGAGAAGATTTCATCACCATATTCTTTGATGTCAAAGTTTTGGGAGGTTTGTTCTCCCTTCTCATTCCATGCAGTGATGATGTAACTTCCTTGCATTGCCTCTGCGGACATGGGGTGGGACAGGTCCAGAATTCCACTCACTGTTGACTGGTTCAACCACTGAGCAATGCGGTTGGAGTTGGGGTCCTGTATACAGATTCATAATAGGTTGAAGGAAGCTATTTTTGTTTTAGAGACAGGCATTGTATCAATTCATGCATCAGTACATTGGCAGGACATTTTTTTGAAGGGAGATCATGTCATTATTATTGCTCATGTTATATACAGCTTTGGTTTTTAATTGCAATGGATTTGAATGAGTCTCACCTGAAGCTCCACTGTTTGATACTAGAAATTAGAAACAAAACATTCAGCATTAACATTTGGCCCCAAAAAACATTACAACTTTATTTTTATTACGTCCCAAAATAGTTTTTACAGTAGGCCTACAGGGAACTACTGTGGTGCCAGAAAAGGGCTTTAAAACATTAATTTCATGACTTTCCAAAACAGTTTCTACAGTGCAGGCATCTTTATCTACAAAGTTACAGTACAGAGCAGGCCTGGCGCTCCTGTTGATTCAGATGCTCTGATCAAAGAGCCAGGCAAAATGACCTCTGACCACGTTTGCTGAGCCACCTACACACACGGTCTGTCTCACCCACACTGCCCCATTGAATCATCAAACTGGGACTGCAAGAGGATGAAATCATTGCTCCATCACTTCCCTTCTTTACTCAACTACAGTAAACCTCTCCCAAACTACACACCACCTCCCTAGAATGTTACAATGCTGACTAACACGGGGCTGTCCTGTTCAACCCCACTTAAAAATGCTTTGAAAGAGTAACTTAATTTTTATTGAACAACACTGAAAGAGTAACTTACCATCTGATTGAATGACAAGAAACTGGCATCCAGCGAGACGATTCGGAACTTGACTGGAAAAGCGGTAGAAACATCTGTCTATATACAGTGTACAGTATATCCATCATCCATTTCAGTAATGACCTTTCCTCAAGCTTATGGCCTCACAAATATACTGTAAAGTCTGCATGAACATAATTATTAGACGAAAAGGGAAAGTTTAGTACATTTACAAGTAATAACTCAAGAAGGGTCAGTTTCAGTGTTCATCAAAGATGTTATCTAACTACCTGTCTGTCCAGGTTTGTAGACTGGTTTGTCTGTCTGGAAAATGGTGAGGAATCTTTTGGGCTTGATAAGGATCTTGGTGTTTTTGCTCATCTCCTCCTTCCTCCCCTTGATGCTAACATAGACAGTTGCCACACTGTCAGCCTTCACTGGGGGAACCTACAACATGAAGAACAGAAGAATGGAAGCTTGTTAGAACTTCTACAATCCTCTAGCTCCTAACCAAAGCTTGGCTCTCCTGACTGAGTAGCTTGAACAGAGGGCTTTTTGTTAAATGGTAGATAACCTCAGCATAGCGAAGTATGATTAAAATAACTGCTATTGCCCTTCATAGGTTGGATCATTTTGCATACAGCACCCAGCCTGGAATCCAAGTTGAATTCCACAAAATATGACTCTGCTCTGTCGCAGCCGGCCGTGACCGGGAGACTCATGGGCGGCGCACAATTGGCCCAGCGTCGTCCAGGGTAGGGGAGGGAATGGCCGGCAGGGATGTAGCTCAGTTGATAGAGCATGGCGTTTGCAACGCCAGGGTTGTGGGTTCGATTCCCACGGGGGGCCAGTATAAAAAAAATAAAAAAAAAAAAAAAAATGTATTCACTAACTGTAAGTCGCTCTGGATAAGAGCGTCTGCTAAATGACTAAAATGTCAATGTAATGACTGAGTTACAACCAAACTAGTCAGAATAAATGACTGCAGTGAATGTGTGTTGTTGAATGAATGCGCATAGCTAGCTTGAGTCTAGTAAGAACAACTTTTGTTTAGATGATGGAGAATGACCAGTACAGAAGAGTCAAACATTGCAGGAGTTTCTATAGTATTATAGAAGATCATGATCTATAATAGATCACATCGTTGTGGAAATATGCAGTTACAAATGTCACACAGAGCTGGCATGATTCTTTACATGTCAGAGAGGCATGTTGGTTCTACATAATATATTTATATCAGAGCGTTCCACAACGTTGTAGCCTGCTGAACACAGCACAGTTGCAGTTGACCTGGAAGGAGGTGCAGTGATAGAAGTCCTGTGTTACGGCTTCCTTCAGTAGAATGGTGCTGCTGCCATCCTCCATCTCCATTGACACATTCAACAACATAGGCTCTGTGGCTTGTTGGACCTGAGCACAAAGTTTCTCTGTGGTCCCTCCTACCACCTCCGAGCTGACCGTCACCAGGTAAATCCTAAAAGGGGAAAGAGTCAGCATGAATGCAGCTGTGGTAATAATACTTAAGTGGCAGTGTACTCATCAAACTGCCCCTTTGTTCCTTTCTAGCCTACTGATGTTTTAAAGTTGGGGACAAAGTTACCTTAATCATCTCTGGCTATGTGCCCCACTCAGAGGCCAACCAATGAGAAATGGAGGGCACAATTGATTCTGTTTTGGAGAGTGTTTGAGTGGATACCAATGAGTTGTTTTGATGGACTGTCAGCCAAGGCTTTCGACTCTGTCAACCACCGCATTCTTATTGGCAGACTAAATAGCCTTGGTTTCTCAAATGACTGCCTCGCCTGGTTCACCAACTACTTCTCAGATAGAGTTCAGTGTGTCAAATCGGAGGGCCTGTTGTCTGGACCTATGGCAGTCTCTATGGGGGTGCCACAGGGTTCAATTCTTGGGCCAACTCTTTTCTCCGTGTATATCAATGATGTCGCTCTTGCTGCTGGTGACTCTCAGATCCACCTCTACGCAGACGACACCATTTTGTATACATCTGGCCCTTCATTGGACACTGTTAACAAACCTCCAAACGAGCTTCAATGCCATACAACACTCCTTCAGTAGCCTCCAACTGCTCTTAAACACTAGTAAAACTAAATGCATGCTCTTCAATCGAACGATGCTGGCACCCGCCCACCGACTAGAATCACCACTCTCGACGGGTCTGACCTAGAGTATGTGGACAACTACAATACCTAGGTGTCTGGTTAGACTGTAAACTCTCCTTCCAGACTCACATTAAGAATCTCCAATCCAAAGTTAAATCTAGAATCGGCTTCCTATTTCGCAACAAAGCCTCCTTCACTCATGCTGCCAAACATGCCCTCGTAAAACTGACTATCCTACCGATCCTTGACTTCGGCGATGTCATTTACAAAATAGCCTCCAACACTCTACTCAGCAAATTGGATGTAGTCTATCACAGTGCCATCCGTTTTGTCTCCAAAGCCCCATACACTACCCACCACTGTGACCTGTACGCTCTTGTTGGCTGGTCCTCACTACATGTTTGTTGTCAAACCCACTGGCTCCAGGCCATCTATAAATCACTGCTAAGCAAATCCCCGCCTTATCTTAGCTCATTGGTCACCATAGCAGCACCCACCCGTAGTCTGCGCTCCAGCAGGTTTATCTCACTGGTCATTCCCAAAGCCAACACCTCCTTTGGCCGCCATTCCTTCCAGTTCTCTGCTGCCAATGACTGGAACGAATTGCAAAAATCTCTGAAGCTGGAGACTCTTATCTCCCTCACTAACTTTAAGCATCAGTTGTCAGAGCACCTTACCGATCACTGCACCTGTACACAGCCCATCTGAAATTAGCCCACCCAACTACCTCATCCCTATATTGTTATTTATTTTGCTCTTTTGCACCCCAGTATCTCTATTTGCACATAATCTCTTGCACATCTAGCATTCCAGTGTTAATACTAATTGTAATTATTTTGCACTATAGCCTATTTATTGCCTTACCTCCATAACATGCTACATTTGCACACACTGTATATATCTTTTCTGTTGTATTTTTTGACTTTATGTTTTTTTACCCCATATGTAACTCTGTGTTGTTGTTTTTATCGCACTGCTTTGCTTTATCTTGGCCAGGTCGCAGTTGTAAATGAGAACTTGTTCTCAACTGGCTTACCTGGTTAAATAAAGGTGAAATAAATAAAATAAAATGTCTTGGGGATGATTAAACAGAGGGACATTGAAGGAAAACATATCAATAGGGGGCAGTGTCTGTCAACATCTCTCAGATGCACATACAGTGCACTCGCAAAGTATTCAGACCCCTTGACCTTTTCCACATTTTGTTACGTTACAGCCTTATTCTAAAATTGATTCAATATATTTTTTTCCATCAATCTAATTTAATTTACCACAGGTGGACTCCAATCAAGTTGTAGAAACATCTCAAGGATGATCAATGGAAACAGGATGCACCTGAGCTCAATATCGAGTCATTGAGTGGCCCAGCCAGAGCCCGGACTTGAACCCGATCAAACATCTCTGGAGAGACCTGAAAATAGCTGTGCAGCGACGCTCCCCATCCAACCTGACAGAGCTTGAGAGGATCTGCAGAGAAGAATGGAACTCCCCAAATACAGGTGTGCCAAGCTTGTAGCATCATACCCAAGAAGACTTGCAGCTGTAATCGCTGCCAAAGGTGCTTCAACAAAGTACTGAGTAAAGGGTCTAAATACTTATGTAAATGTGATAACCGTTTTACATTTTTTATAAAGTAGCAAAAATGTCTAGAAAAAACTGTTTTGCTTTGTCATTATGGTGTGTAGATTGAGTAATTTTTTTGTACAAAACAAAAATCCATTTCAGAATAAGGCTGTAATGTAACAACATTTTGAAAAAGTCAAGGGGTCTGAATACTTTCCGAATGTACTGTATAAGAGCTATCACAAGTTGGATTTTCAACCCCAAAATCTGTAATAATATTTGCCAGCATGTCTCATAACATATGAAAAGCCTCACATGCACAAAGAGAAAGAGAGGTACTGTATGTGTAACAGTGATGTCCTGTGGCCTTATCACTATATTTGTTTGTATTATTATTCACAATTGGAGACAATTGCAAGCAGATATTCAGTTATACAATTATATGTAATATGTTTATAACTAAAATAATGATATTGCTCAGGTGGGCTATTCTACCCCTGCACGTGCATAGCGTGCAGAATACTGAGTGGAATTAATTCCTCAATTTGAAGTCTGTTGCATGCAGCCAGGCATGTAAATACAAATAGCTGATTGTGTGTTTAATCTACTGCATTCTACATCAAATGTTTTGTAGCGTACTTACGATTTGAAGGTGCTCGATGTCGCGGTTTGTAAAATCACTGATGTGATCAATACATGGAAAAGTGTGATCAATACAAGGAAAAGTAAGTTGAGAGCCATCGCCATAGCTTCGGTACACAGCCGGTCTTCCTCCGCACTTCGAAATTCTCCCTTCACTTCCCTCTTCCAGATGTGATGGTCAGGAAAGTTGCACAAACTGTGCTATATATACCCAAATGCACCCTCCTGTGTCACTCCCTTCTAAATTGTTTCCGTTTCCTCCCAATTCCGCTGAAGTTCTCAAATAGTCACAGCCACCAACCAACGGGATTGTCAGAATGATGACGAAAACACCTCAGGCTATTTACTTTACTATTTATATTTTTGACAACTTGTACTTTTACTTCACTACATTCATAAAGAAAATTATGTATTTTTTACTCCATACATTTTCCCTGACACCCAAAAGTACTCGTTACATTTTGAATGCTTAGCATGACAGGAAAATTGTCTAATTCACACACTTATCCCTGGTCATCCCTACTGCCTCTGATCTGGCGGACTCACTAAACACATGCTTCGTTTGTAAATGATGTCTTGAGTGTTGGAGCATGGCCCTGGCTATCCGTAAATAAATAAAAACAAGAAAATGATGCTGTCTGGTTTGCTTTATATAAGGAATTTGAAATCATTTATACTTGTACTTTTACTTTTGATACTTAAGTATATTTAAAACCAAACACTTTTAGACTTTTACTCAAGTAGTATTTTACTGGGTGACTTTCACTTTTACTTGAGTAATTTTCTATTAAGGTATCTTTACTTTTACTCAAGTATGACAACTGGGTAAATTTTCCACCACAGGTTATTTGGTTCTGGGTGCCGAGATTAGCCTCATGTTAATGTGAACAGTTGTTATGCCATAATGTGGATATCAGGCCCCATGTTCCTCCAGGAACGAAGAGGAGTAAGTCAATAATGTGGCTATCATGGAGAGAGTTTTGCATAGGCCAACAATGGCATAGTCCCTGTGCCCATGGCATAGTCCCTGTGCCCAGGAACACTAAGATAACCTGCCTAAATGACTACCGACCCGTAGCACTCACGTCTGTAGCCATGAAGTGCTTTGAAAGGCTGGTCATGGCTCACATCAACACCATTATCCCAGAAACCCTAGACCCACTGAAATTTGCATACCGACCCAACAGATCCACAGATAACGCAATCTTTGTTGCACTCCACACTGCCCTTTCCCACCTGGACAAGAGGAACACCTACATGAGAATGCTATTCATTGACTACAGCTCAGTGTTCAACACCATAATGCCCTCAATGCCCTCAAAGCTCATCACTAAGCTAAGGACCCTGGGACTAAACACCTCCCTCTGCAACTGGATCCTGGACTTCCTGACGGGATGCCCCCAGGTGGTAAAGGTAGGTAACAACACATCTGCCACGCTGATCCTCAACACGGGGGCCCCTCAGGGGTGCGTGCTCAGTCCCCTCCTGTACTCCCTGTTCACCCATGACTGCATGGCCAGGCACAACTCCAACACCATCATTAATGTTGCCGACGACACAACAGTGGTAGGCCTGATCACCGACAACGATGAGACAGCCTATAGGGAGGAGGTCAGAGACCTCAACGTAATCAAGACAAAGGAGATGATTGTGGACCACTACAGGAAAAAAAAAAGTGGACTGAGCACACCCCGATTCTAATCGTCGGGGCTGTAGTGGAACAGGTTGAGAGCTTCAAGTTCCTTGGTGTCCACATCACCAACAAACTATCATGGTCCAAACACACCAAGACAGTTGTGAAGAGGGCACGACAAAGCCTATTCCCCCTCAGGAGACTTAAAATATTTGGCATTGTGTAATATTCATATGTGTCAGCATACTGAATTGTAATTGGATGCATTCTACTGTCATATCATACTGTGCTATGATGGGTTAAGACCACCCAGGTGGTGAGGTCATTCTAAAGATGATCATGGCCAGAGACACATGGACATGCCAGTTATAGCTAGTTAATAAAGAGCTACGTTTATAAATATCCTGTCGTCCTGCATTTTATTTTTTTGAACAAAGCATACAAAACAAGACAGGCATGGTTCCTCAGATCCTCAAAAGTTCTACAGCTGCACCATTGAGAGAATCCTGACTGGTTGCATCACTGCCTGGTATGGCAACTGCTCGGCCTCCGGCCGCAAGGCACTACAGAGGGTAGT